GCAGAGAGGAAGGGAAAGGACCCCTGTGGCCATGCATTCTTGGCAGTAGGAGAACCAATATGCCCTAAGGCTACCAGGATCCACCAGTGGACACAGGATCTAGACTGGATCTCCGTGTGGCGCCAGCACGGGCCCAGAGAAGGCTAGACCCCTCCAAGAAGTAGTGATATTTCTTAAAGAATACATAATTATTCTTTAAGGGATGTTCCAGCAGGAAAAAAAGGCAGGACAGGACGTCAAGGAAGATTACCCACTGCTCCCAACTCTAGCCTTGGCACCCACCCGTGACGGACTCTTACCTAGGCAAAGCCCCACAGGGGCAGGCTGGAAGAAACCCTACAAAAGCCAACTTGAACAAAGGAAGGGGGTACATGTCTGAGCACATGTGTGACCTGGGCACATGTGTTGCCTGGGTACATGGTGCTCAAGCGCTGTTTCCCGTGTCTCCCCTTAGAGATGTTCACTTTCATAACTTCTTCTTTAGTGTGGGGATCTGTACTGGGGCTCTCTCTCCACTCTGGAGAGAGCCTGTTCTCTTTTGAGTTTCTCCTCCTCCTCCCCCCTCGCCACCCTTCTCCTCCTCCTCCTCCCCCCTCGCCACCCTTCTCCTCCTCCTCCTCCTCCTCCTCCTCCTCTTTCTCCTCCTCCTCCTCCTTCTTCTCTCTCCCCCCATTCCTCCCCTTCCTCAGAATTTCCAAATCAAACCTGTTTTAACTTCACTGCTCCTCTCCTCCTTTTCTGGGAGGGAAAGGTGACATCAGAAGTTCTGGCTAGGGTCTAGGAGTGACTTCTTTCCTACAAAGAGCGAGACCCCCAGCAGACTCTCATAGTTCGAGGTCCCCCAGCCATACCCCAGAGGCAGAGGTAGAGAGAGAAATGACGAACTTCTTTCTCGAGGTCACCATCTCTCTCCACCCTACTTCACATCAGTTATAATGTAGGAGAAACAAGCAAGTGCAGACACCACAGTGTGGAAGTGGTGCCCCTAACCCTGCCGTACAATTGACCCCTTCCATCAGCATTGGATGTCCCCTGCCCCTTCCTGCCCGGCACTCCTTGCTGTGTTCTCCTTGCTCAGGAGTTGGTTTTCATTTTGCTCCGTGTCTGTCCTTCTTCCACGTGGCTGGGCTTTGTCCAGTTGATACTTCACTTGGCATGATGACCTTTCAAAATGCGCCACTTGAGGCATGGTCACCAAATTCTCCAGCTTCCAGGAGCCCAAAGACCAAGCACTTATGCCAGGGATCACAAGACCCTTGGTATGGCCCTTCCTGATGTCCTGGGGCCCTGGACTAAAAAAATTGCCCATAGAATTCCATGAGGCCACTGGTATGGCAATGGGGCTATATCGTGGCACATCCAGGAGTGTTCAAGGGACCATGTGGTGTCAGGAACCAAACCCAGGGACTTGCACATGCCAGGAACACATTCTACCACTTGTGCTGTCTGCCTGGCCCCAAGACTGTTTCCAAGACTGGTAGGATAGGGGTGTTCAGTGGTAAATCACATGCCTGACATGTGTGAGGTTCCATACCCAGCACTGAAAATGTATAATAATAACAAATGAAGCCAGGCAAGGGAAGAAACCTCACTCCCAGAGTAGTGTGACCGCTCCCTGCCCATGGACAGAGGTGTACATCTTCAATTTCTTTTTCTTTTTTAACCACCCAAACCCACCAACACCATCTAACCTTATGAATTATATTTTAGTTGTTTTGCTTTTGGTGGTCACACACAGTGGTTCTCGGAACTTGCTCCTGGCCCTGTCCTCAGGGATCACTCCTGGTACTATGATCCTGTATGATGCAGGGGTCAGCCTTGTAGGCCACATGCAAGGCAAGTGTCTTTCAGCCCTGCGCTGTCTCTGGCCGTCCCATTTTGCTTTTTCACATGCTTATTGATGTTGTGGGGCTGAGGATCAAATCTGAGGCCTCAAACACACCAAGTTAGTGCTTTGCCACTGAGTCCCCTTCCTGCCCACCTTGCAACTTCTTTTCTCTGTTGGGGAGCTCTCAACAATATCTCAGGGATATTCCTGAGAACTTCTTTTTTTCATCCTTTATGTGTGTGTATGTATGTATATATGTATGTGTATGTATGTATATGTGTGTATGTTTGTGTGTGTGTGTTTTGGGGCCACACTGGGTAGTTTACTCGGGCTATTCCTGGCTCCCAGGGGTGCTCAGGGAATCATGCAGTGCCAGGGATTAAACCCAGCCCTGCCTTCCTCCCTACTGCAAAGTCCACACTGTAACCCTTGGGACTTCCTAACCTACTCGGGGATCCCATCTTTCCCTTGGGGTTCCTTCGCATCCCATCTAGAAGGTACTAACAGCCCGGGGCCCTGGGAAGGCTTTGATTCTGCACACTGTCTGTCTTCAAAGCTCATCAATCTCATTTGTGGGCAAAAACTCTGAGGTCATTTTCATCACTGAGTGTCGGTCAGAGGGAGAAACCCCATTAGCTTCTCCAACTGGAACCACCTGGTCATTTACTTGACTTTCCAAGGGCTGCTGCTGGGGACAGGAAGCAACAGGAACATGAGTTGGGGGCTGTGAGGGGCCGGACCCCTAGGGTCTGCAGTGTCATTACATGGCCCAGTTGCGGGACAAATGTGTTTGGCACTCCTGGCAGGACTCCCTCCTGGGCTGGAGGCTTGTCCCTCCTTCCTGCTGTGGTCACCTTGCCTCCTGGCCTCTGTCCTCTCTGTCCCTCCTCCAGGACACAGTGTCCTGCGGCAGAAACCACCAAATATCACCATCTCGGGGGGCACAACTGAAAACACAGACAAGATCCCTGAGAAAACATTTCCCAGACGATTTGGGGGATCTGAAGGTCGAAGAGGTCTGAGGTCCACAGGGGACCAGATCAGTCCCCTCTTGTGCCCTTTGACCCGGCACTCCTGGGCCGTTGACCCCTCAGGACAGGCTCCTCGCTCAATTGTGTCTGAGCTCCTGGGAGTCCGTGTGTGTGGCCAGAAGGCCGAGGGACTCACAGGTCAGAACAGAGCGGAGAGAAGCAAAGCAAGGCGGGCCGGAGCTTGCATCATTCTTCTAGGGAACCAGGCGCAGGAGGGCTCCAAAGAACTCCCCAGCTTCTGGGTCCAGCTGAGGACAGAAGGAAGGGCCATGCCAGGGGCCCTGGCAGCCACTAGGTGACTTTCAGGGAATGTGAGAATGGCAGAGTGACAGGCTTGAGATGCATTAAGAGTGTTGTCATCGCTCTGGGCCGGGCTGGGGTGCTGCCATGTCCTGGCTGTTTATTTTAAAGGCAGTTTTCTCTGTCATTTAAGCTCCCACATTTGTGGCTGTTGCTTCACAAACCGTCCCCCCACTGCGTCACTTGAGTGGGGCCTGGGCCCTCTCTCCAGTGAGGCCACTTCCTTCCCGGTGTCCTTAAATCACAGCCTCCTTCAGTTACAGGTACATGTCCAGCCACTGCTCCCTCGGCAGGACACCCCGCACCCAAGGCTGTGGGCTGCGCAGCTGTTGCAAATCTCACTTGTTGAAAGAGGAAAACAATTACTTGCTATCAAAAAAAAAAAAAGTAAACAAGTAGATTATGTCACATCACGAGTCTTGGCAACAGCAAATTACAAAGTCCTTGCCTTGCACACGGTGGGCTTGGGTTCCACCCCCAAGACTGCATATGGTCTCCCAACTCCTCCAGGAGTGGCTCCTGAGCATGGAACCAGGAGCACCAACCTGAGCACTGCTGGGTGTGGATCCAAACAAAACACAGAGGCACAATGTGTATCCAGGCAAGATTTGTAGCTATGTGTCTTCCCTAAAGAGGAAATGGTTGCTGGGTTGGTCAGGTAGGAGCTACAAGACCAGATAAGGAAAACGTAGTGTGTGTGACTGATGGTCGTGAAGATGAGGTGCAGAGATGTGGTACTGAATGCACTTAGCTCAGTTCCTGGGCCAAGGTACTAGGTCCTGAATGTAAATTGTTTATAGACGATGAAGGGGTGGCATGCAAAGACTTGGGGTGACATCAGTCATCTGACCTTTTGATGACCTATGAGGGCTGACCTTACCCATTTGAGGAGCATGACATGCTCCAAATCCTGCTGGTCTTTTTTGCTTTTGTGGTGCCACCACTGAAGACATCTTGGTACCCCAATGACGCACACCGCACACTCTGTACCACATTCTAGTGGCTAGACTAGGCTCGGATTTTCCAGTAGAGTATCCCATGAGATCACACATCTTTGGTGTTTCCCGTTCAAATTCTGAATCTTCCGCCTAAGAGTCCGAGTTCAGCCCTGGTTCCATTCTCCGCCCTGTCCATTCGGCTTCACCGCTGGAACAAAGTAGGGGGCCAGGTTGGCACTGGTAATATCCGAGCTCCTTGTATCTTTGAAGCCCTCTGGGTAACTCAGTCCAAGTGTCATTTCTGCGATGGCCGGAACAAGAGGTGCAATCCAGGAGCACCGGAAACACTGCAGCTCTGGCATCTCCTGACAGTGCCCGAGTTTCACCTCCCAGCTCACCTGTCCTCTCCCCCCAGATCCCACCCGCACTGGCTTTGAAGGAGGGGTAGACCTGCGAGGGTTAAAGCCAGGGACCCCTGTCACCTCAACTTTTCCAGGGGGCGCCCCTTTCCCTTCCTCCATTTGTTCGGGAAGACTCCAGATGCGGGGTGGCCTGTGCCAGGGCAGAAGAAACAACTTGGCCCCTGGGATTAGCCACCGGGGTGGGGGTGGGGGGTCACCGTGGGGGTGCGCACTTCCCGCGGGGACGCGAGCAGGGCGCGCCAACCCGGGCCGGCCCCCCCACCTCCTCCCTCTCCCCCCTCCTTCCTCCTCCCCCCGTCCCCCCTCCCCCTTCCCTCCCCGCCCCGCCCCGCCCCGCCGGGCCGGCCGGAAGCGCCGCGCGCGGCCGCGGGTTCCTGGCGCGCGGGGCGGGGCTGGGCCCTCCCGGTCCCTCCCCCGGTGCGGGCGGGCGGGCGCGGCGAGGGCCCTTCCGGGCGCGGCTGCCAGCCGGGCCGGTGCCGCTGCCCGCGCGCCCGGAACCTCCGCCGCTGCCGCCGCCGCGATGCGGGCCGAGGGCCCGGCCGGCCTGGAGCGCTTCAGCAGCCCGGGCAAGGGCCGGGGGCTGCGCGCGCTGCGGCGCTTCCGGGTGGGCGAGCTGCTGTTCTGCTGCCCGGCCTACGCCAGCGTGCTGTCGGTGGGCGAGCGCGGCCACCACTGCGAGCACTGCTTCGCCAGGTAGGCGGGGGCGGCGGGCCTCTCCCCGGGCACCCCGCCCGGCGGGGGGCTCACGTCACCGAGCCCCCCGGCCGGCCCCGGCCCCGGCCCCGGCGTCTGGAGCCCAGCCCGAGAGGGCCCGGCACGGACCCTGCAGAGCACGTGTCGGGGGGGCGTGGTGGGCGCGTCGCCTCGTGGCGTCTGCAAGCGCGGAGGCCGGGTGGGGGCCGCTCCGACCCGGCGCGCGTCACGGCGTCGGCACGTGGAGAGGCCCCCGCCGGCGCAGGAGCGCAGGGCCGGACAGCCAAGCCCCCAGACTGCGCCCCCCGGAAGCTCGTCGTCCAGGGGTCCGTCCCCGCGCCCCGCCAGAGAGGACGCATCTCGGGCCGCTGCCCACCTGCCGGGGGCCCAGCCGCGGAGGCCCCATCCTCCCCCATCCCCCCGTGCCTTTCCGGGGGTACGGCGGGCGCTCGAGCCCAGGCACCTGCGTGCCCTGGTCGCGCTGACCTCCGAGGACCCGGCCAAGACCCGCACCTTGGAGGAGGGAGGCAGCGGGCGCGCAGCGTGGCAGTGACCCTGGGGTCCCCGCATCCCCTCCGCGGGCACAGTCGCCGCAGAGAGCAGCGGTGCTTGGAGCCCAAGCGCAGCTGCAGGGTCACGGCTCGGCTCCGAGCCAAGCTAGTGACGTCGAGCCGTGAGCGCAGCGGGGCCTTCCCAGTGTGGCAGGGCCGCTGTGAAGGCCCCTTGGTCTCCCCAGCCTTCGGGAGCAGAGCGGGCTGCGGTTCGGAGGTCACGGGCACCGCTGGGGCCCAGAGCCCAGCCGAGTAGGGAGTGACGGCTCCAACTCTGTCCCCGGGACTCAGCGCTCAGATGTCCCTCCCTTCAAGGGACTTGGGGGGAGGCACCTTGTGTTTGGCCCTGGCCGTCCCCAGGGTCCCCTCTACTCTCTGAACCCTCAAAGCCAGCCCTGCCATGGGGAATAGTTGGCAAATTTGGGGGGGGGGGGTAAAGTGTGGGGCCACCGCCTACAGCCTCACTCCTGGCTCTGTGCTCAGGGATCACTTCTGGTGGTGCCTGGGGGCCCTTTGCAGTTCCAGGGATGGGAGCAGGCACAGCTGCTGGCAAGGAGGGGCCTTGGCACCTGCGCTGTCGCTGTGGTCCAGTTGGTTCGTTTTTCTCCTGTTTCTGAGCGATGTTCGCTAGTGTCACTCCGTCCCCAGGGCTGGCACACCTCCCCTTATGCTAGAGAGGAAACTAGGTCAAGCCCACCCATGGTAGCTCTCTCTGGGGAGTCACTTCAGACCCAAGAATTGGGCAGACGGACTGAATGACTGCTTCTCTCCAACCCTCCCAAACACATGTTCATGTGTACACACACACGCACATGCACACATCTGCACATGCACCTGCACACACGGACATACACGTATGCATACACGCAGGCACTGAGCCCCGGCCAGGCATGAGCCATCCGTGGTGTGCACGAGTGTCAGCATGTTATTAGGTACCGGGGAAAGATGCAGAGACAGCAGGTCCCCTGGCGGGGTAAAGCAGGCGCCTTTAGGGTGAGGCGTGTTGCTTTCAGCGCTGTCCTGTTGTTTATTCTCGTGTGCTTGTGGTTGCTGAGCAGTGTGTTAGGATGCCAAGTTTTAGACTTTGATTTACTTTGAGGAGGGCTTTTCAGTTGGGACCACCAGGACTCCCTGAGGGTTTCGGGTGTTGTGTCCAGGATGTGGTACCCACAGGGCACTCACTCAGGTCCTGTTAGCCTCTACTGGCCCCATGGACCTTGCTGAGCCCGAGGTTTCTCAGCTGTACAACATGCACCTGGGCGCCTTCCAGGGCTTGCTGAGAACTGACCAGGCACCGAGTGAGGTGGTCGCCAGCCTCAGGATGAGCTCCCAGGTGCCAGGCTGGGACCCCACCAGCTCACTGCTAGGATGTGTGCTCCCTCTGGGTACCAGGTATATTTTTATTGGAATGGTGCTGATGGGAGACCCTGGAACTCGTGAACCCACAGAAGCAGCACTCAGAAGCCTCCAGACCCAGGGGACATCTGAATTCCGTTTTCAGGGTTTTCCAGAACCTTCTAGAATGTGAACCTGTTCTTCAGTTCATTGTGGGTTTTTTTTTTTTTTTTTTTTTTTTGCCTATCCCCAGCTCTGTCTACCTCTGCGTGCCAGCTGGTGCTGGGTTGGGCCCAGTGTCCTGTGTGGAAAGCCTGAATTCAACCCCTCCAGACTTCTCTGTTGCCCTGGAAGGTTTTAAAAAAGAGTTTCTTTCTTTTTCTTGTATTTAGTCACCAAATTACAAACATGGTTGTGTTTCTGGTATACAGTGTTTTGACATTAATCCCTTCAGTGTCCACTTCTGTCCACCAGTTGCCCCTCCTGCCACTCCCCCCACCCCAACTTGACTCCTACCCACCAGTCTAACTCTGCGACACTTTCTTAAATAACCCTGCCACTGTGGGCGTCAGTAGTTACTGCCGGGCCTCATGCCTGACTCATTCCCCCCTTTCAGCCCCCTTCCCGCCGTCATAGTCCCTCCCTCACATGTTCCACAGGCTTCCCCACGGCCGGCCTCCTGCTGAATACCAGTCTCAGTCTCCTCTCCTTTACCTCTGGCGTGTGTTATTCCACTGGCATGTTTTTATCCCACGTCTTAGATCATCTGTGTCCACCTCAAGTACAGAGCTTTCTTGGGACTGGGATTTGGTTCTGTGATCAGGGTCATACCTGCGTCCTGCCCTCCCTGCTCTGGCCCCAGCACTGTGCTGCCTCTGAGCCTCTGAGCCTCCTCCAGATGCAGCCGCTGAGCTGTGAGAGCAATAAGCACCACGGCCCAGTAGCTAGAAACACACGTGTGGCCGGCGCAGAGTTACAGACTGAAAAGTGCCTCTGGCTCCCTTCCCTCCCCAATGTCATCATAGAAAACTCAGATTCACAAGAAATGTCTCAGGCGTTCCATCCGAAATGTTGGCCCCCTATACTACAGCCCAGAAGACGTTTCCAGAGACCTTGTTTGGGTCCCCACCTTCCCGAACCCAGTTCACCCACTTGCTGTCGGAGGAACGCGGGATGGGAGAAGCTGGCTTCTCCTGCCGTGTGCATTCCCCCCCCCCCCCCCCCCCGGCTGAGCTGCAACCCCCCTGCACAGCTTGGGGCGGAGTCCTGCTCCCGACCCGCCCGCCTGGCTGCTTCCATGGCTTTCCGCATGCCTGAATGCGGTTCCCATCACTGTCCCCGCTGTGTCGCTCAGATCCTGAGTGGGTTGTTAGTAGGAAAGCAGCCGTGATTCTGGTGCACTGGCTTGGTGGGGGTGGACAGGACAGTGATGGATTAGTTCGGGGCTTCGGAACTCGCCGGAACCCCGCGTCTCTGTGCTCTGCACAGTGTCTGCATCTGCTCTTTGTCGGGATGTGTTTTCCACATTTCTGATGCTGGGGGGCTGTGCTGGATGAGGGGGATGCAGGGTGGGAGTGGCCCGGGGCCTGGCTGAGTTGCAGCCCCTGGGACACCTTTAATGATGTGGCCAGAACCAGGTTTCAGTTCCGTCCTCGACTCTGCACTCCCTGTAAAGGGGCCTGTGCCTGTGCGGGTAGGAGCCCTGAGCCTGTTTAATTTGGGACCCTGTCCTGCAGAGGCCCCTCCTGGGTTCTGCCCTGACACCGTAGAACAGCAGTGACTTCAGGATGCCCCTGAGTGACAGACACATACGGGCGCTGGCCGATCGTGTCCGGGTTCTGGGCTTTCGGCTGAAGGGACTTTCTGGTTCAGAGAGCTGGCTGCCATTTCTATCTGACGGTTAAAAATAGGCCGGGACTCCTCGCGCCCTCAGTTAGCGCGGAATCTGGTGAGTGGCAAAAGGCCGCCTGTGGGTGGCTTCAGATAACTCAGTGTGTGATGTGGATTGCTGCCCTTTGGGAGAGATGGGGAGGGTCTGGGTGCTGTCCTGGCGAGACTGAGGGACTCTGAGGTCCACGGCTGCTCCAGGCACGGCCTAGGGGACTGTGGCACCAGCCTTGGGAAGCTCTGGGCCTGGCCTAGGGGAGGCCAGATGGCAGCTAACCTGAGCCCATCAGGGCCCAATAGAAAACCCAGATAGATAGAGAAAAAGAAATCTCAAGGGTTTTAGATCCAGGCTGGAAAGCAGAGAGCGCGTGGTCTAACAGGACGCAGAATCCTTGGACACCCTCCCCCCTGCCCCCCCCCCCCCCACACACACACCCTGTGCCATGCCGTTGCGTTGATTTCTCTTCTGGGGTGCTGTGTGGGCCCGAGACAGATTCCCCAAGAGCATGTGTGCCTTTTGTGTGATATGTGAGAGCATTTGATTTCATTGGGTGTTTGATGGGTACCTAGTCCCTAGGAAACAACAGGAAGAAAGGGGCAGAAACCTCTCAGACCCCCAGGCCCTGGGCTTTTTGCAAGGCCTCAGCAATTACTTTGTTGAAGTATTATTTGGGGGCCCAGAGAAACAGTACCAGGGTTTAGGAGGTTCCTTGAATGCCACTCGGGTTTTATCTGTGGCATTGCATGTGGTCTCCAGGGCACACAGCCAGGAGTGCTCCTTAGCACGGCTTGAGTACAGCTCACAGACCCCCCATAAGAAAGGATTACTAAGGGGTTCCATTTTTCCTTGGTCTTTTATTGAAAACCCGTGTCCAGAGAGATGTGCACAGAGAAAATTCCAGGTACCAGAAGACACAGCCTTGCAGCCAGTTTTTGAGGCCAGCTCAGAGGAGACGGTTAATAGGTTGTGTGTATTTTGGGGGTCACACCCTGGCACGATGCTCAGGCAGCACCTTCCTGGAACGTCCCGTGGGCATAAGTGGCGTCTCAGATCTATGAGGAAATATCTGTCACTTTTCTCTCTTAAAGGCCTACTTCTAAAAATCAAGTGTTGGGGCTGGAGCGATAGCACAGCGGGTAGGGCGTTTGCCTTGCACGCGGCCGATCCGGGTTCGATTCCCAGCATCCCATATGGTCCCCTGAGCACCGCCAGGGGTAATTCCTGAGTGCAGAGCCAGGAATGACCCCTGTGCATTGCCGGGTGTGACCCAAAAAGAAAAAAAAAATCAAGTTTTGAGGTGGTGCTGGAGAGAAAAATGGTCCCTAGGACCAAAGCACGTGCTTTGCAGGGAGGCCCCAGGTCTAATTCCTAGCCATGCCAGTGGGGGGAGGGGGTCACCGACTTGTCCCCTGGCTCCAGACAGCCCTACCTTTTGTTTGGGTCTACACCAACAGTGCCTGGGGTAGGGGGTCTCCCTGCCGCTTCAGGGGGGAAGCTCGCCATGGCCACAGGCTGGGCGTCCAGGCTGTGGCTTCTGGTTGCGGGTCCGAGCTCCAGGTCCTCCCTGCGTCGCCTCCAGGACTGAGCCGTGCCTGCCCTGCCACAGCCTAGTGTTCTTGCTGGTCCAGGCTGCTCTTCCGGACTGGGGAGCACCTATTAGCAGTCCTGGCTGCCCTAAATGTTTCCCACCTTCCCGAGAGCCCTGTGCTGGAACTTTTAACAAGCGCTAGAACAAAGCCCAGCGGAAAGGAAGGGGCTGGCTTAGCTCTGGGAAGAAGCCCCCCTTGGCGCAGCTCCATCGTGGATTAAAGATCTCCGTGGTGCCCCGCTTCCTGCCACAGGACACCTGCAGCTGCGGCATTATCCTGTGCCCTGGCCAGGCCACGATCCCTCCCAATTTTCATTCCTCCCAGTAAGACTTTCTGGTTGAGCCTCGATCCCTCTGGGTGGGGGGCCTCACTGTCTGATGGCCTCATTCCAGACTGGGGGGTGAGATCATGTGGCTGCCATCTCCCCTCTTTTTCCCCTTCCTTTCTTTCCCCTTTTCTCTTTGTTATTTGGCGGCGGGGCTGCCTCTGTTCCACAGAGCCACTTGTCACTTCTTCTGTCGCCAGTTAGTTAAAAGTAATTGTTATTGCGGGTCCTTCCCTTTCATGGCAAGACCCACCAAGCTTTCCCGGCTGGCTGCCGTGGGGGTCCCAGGATCAAATTCCTTTCATCCAGGCCAACAGCCCCAAGGGCCAGGCAGAGAATCATCGGGACTTGCTAATTACACCCCCCACCTGTTGCTCTCCAGTTTTGAAAAGCAAGGAAATGAATCGTGTTGTGTTGTGTCTCTGAAGTGACCAGAGCGTGTCTTCCGAAAGCCCTTCCTCCCACCCGGCTGAGATGAGCCGGCTGCTTCTGCACGCACACCTCCTCCCTCTGCATCGAAGAGATGAACCCTTAAGTTCAAAGCCCCGGCAGACTCACAGCGGGGCAGAGATTTGCCCCGAAAACAAAGGCTTGAGAAACACGGACCCCCGCACAGGGGAGAGGGCACGAGGCATGTGTTGCCTGATGTGGTTTCTAAAGGCCAGAGCGGAGAGGCTAATTACAAGCCTGTCAACGCCCGCATTCGCGTCTAATTCCACCCCCCCCCCCCCCCCCAGCCTCATTTTCAATCAGCTCCTGGTTCTGCAGCACAGGAAAAAGGTTCCGCTCAGACTCAGAATGTCCCCAGCACCTCCTCACCGGCTCTGGGAGTCCCAGGGCTGTCTGCCTGTCATCTGCACGGGAGATGCTGGAGAACGTGGGGAAGAGCCGGAACTTGGGGTTTGGTGTGGGGTCACGCCCTGCGGTGCTCGGGTTTACCTCCAGTTCTGCTCATGGGTCATTCCCGGCAGAAGGGGGTGGGGGGGCAGGCAGTGCCAGGGAGCAGACTGGGACTGGTCGCTTAGTCCCTGTGATCCCTGCACTGTCTCACTGCCAGAGCAGCTTTCTGGTGGTGGTTTTGCGTTCTGTCCCGAGCAGCGCCTGCCATGCACAGGCATTGCACCTGCTCTGTGTCTCTGTCCCAGCGCCTGTGAGCCTGGTAAAGGGGCGCTTGAAGAGTTCTCACGCCCCGTATCCTGCCTACGGGATGCTCGACAGACTCCAGCCAATCCTCCCCAACCCCCCAGGAGAACCCAGCCAAACTATCAAGCACCACTTTTCTTTCTGTTGTTGTTTGGTTAAGGCTGGAGCACAGCAGCAGGGCATTTCGGCTGGGCCGGCCAATCCGGGTTCGATTCCTCCGCCCCTCTTGGAGAGCCCGGCAAGTTACCAAGAGTATCTCGCCCACACGGCAAAGCCTGGCAAGCGACCCGTGAGGCATTCGCTATGCCAAACACAGTAACAAGTGTCACTGTGGAGACGTTACTGGGCCTACTCGAGCAAATCGATGAACAACGGGAGGACAGTGCTACAGTGCAGTTTGGTTTGGGGGCCATGCCCAGGAGTGCTCCTGGCTCTGTGCTCAGGGATTGTTCCTGATGGGACCATGTGGAATGCAGGGCATCGCCTGGTCTTCTGTCTGTGGGCCAGCGTGCTCCCTGCTGTGCTATCGCTGGGCCCCCTCAGACACCTGATCCTTTTGTTTGATCGGGATCAGACCCTGCCCCAGTGCGAGCCCCCAGCTGTGTGTTCTGCAGTGTTGCTGCTTGTCTGCACAGTTCTGGTGTGGGGCGTGGGGGGCTGGGCCGGGGAGAGGCAGCATTCTGACTTCCCCTCCAACTTCTCCCCAACACGCGCTCCCACTAAGACACCTCCTGGAAGCTTCCACAGCTTGGCGGGGCACCCCCGGGACCTCTCATCTCAGTCTCCCTGGGGGTCTTTGTGCCTGGGGGGCAGGAGAAGTCTTGTGTCACAGCAGGCCGGTGTGGGGAGTTGCGGAGGTGGTGTGGAGAGCCCCCGGGGCTCCCCACCAGTCCGCAGCCTGGATCAGGCTGTGGTCTGCAGGGAGAGGGGGGAGCGGCTGGCAGGACCCCAGAGCGCTTTGCTGCAGACCCCCCTATGGGGCCCCACTGCCTGGAAGAGAGGGGCCACTCGCTGTCCAGCTGTCTAGGACCCCAGGATGACCTTGGCCTCAGCCTTCCAGGCTGGTGGCTGGTGCAGTGCTCCAGGGCCCAGCAGGCTGCTCTGTGACCGGGATGTGTTAAGACTCTTCCCTGCCTCCTGGCCTGGCGTGCAGCCACTGTCCTTCTCCAGGAACTCCAGGGGTCATCTGCCCCACCTGCCCGCACCTCCATGGCCACTCTCAGTCCGTCCAGCTCCCCATTAATGGGGGGATGCAATGTGGCTTGGCTGTGGCTGGCCGGCCCCTGAAACTGAGTCGTGATGACAGAGGCTGACCTGTCACACCCCGATGTAACTGTACAGGGCGCTGCAGGCTGGGCTCACAGGCCCTGCAGGGCAGTGGGTGGTGGAACCCGGGAGGCCCTGGCTGCCCTGCAGCCCAGACCCTTCTGTCTTGCAGAAAGGAAGGTCTGTCCAAGTGCGGGCGCTGCAAGCAAGCCTTCTACTGCAATGCCGAGTGCCAGGTAGGTGCCGTGCCAGGGTGGGGTCCCGTCTCTGATGGCCGCATGCTTGTCCCTTCCCGGAGTCACCCATCAGGCCTCCAAGGGTGTCCAGTCTGTCACGGGGCCTCAGACATGCCCCTTCCCCTGCAACCAGGGATGGAATGTTCTGGGGCCCGGGGAGTTCCATGACCTCATTCCAGGCCCGATAAGGTCCCATTTCTATATTTAACTCACACCACCCCAAAGAATGAAGTGAGGAGTGAATCTACCCTTCGTGAACTTGAATGCAGATTCCTGGGAGACCAGGGCCATGCGGAGTGCCAGGGCTGTGCATGGTACTGCTCCAGGGACCCGGGGTGCTAGGAGTCCAACCTAGGAAGGTATATGCTGGCAGGACCCTAACCACTCTGCTCTCTTCCTGGCCCCAGGCCCCTTGTCACAGAGACCTCAGGATTGTCATTAAGTGCCATGGAGAGGGCTGTAGGCAGGAGAGCATTTCTGGGGTGGCTTCCTGAAATACAGAGAGGCAGAAGCGTGTGTGCGTACCTGGTTTATAGTGGCGGCATTAGGGAGGGATGGAGAGACAGCCCAGAGAGGAAGGAGACGCCACGCTGGTCTGTGTGACTGTGCGGGGTCTGAGCACCCCCTGGGTGGCAGCGTGGGCCCCAGGGGACCCCTCGGTGCCTGTCCCCCTTGAGGCTTGGCTCTTTTGCTTGAGTCTGCCCCTGCAGCTGACAGGCTTGAACGCATAGCATGGGCCCTGCTAAGTCCCTGGGATCATGTTATTTGCAGCTGCAGGCGGGGATTAAGCGCGTGCTGGGTCACATAGCTGATTTGCTGCAGCCAGACTGAGGCCTCGGGCAGGTGGTCCTTCCCCTCAGGCTTGTGGGCGGAGCTTCCTTGAGGGCCCATTCGGTCCGAGGGAGTGGACAGACCCTAAGACACACTGGGGCTGTGCTGTGCTTCCCAGAACCCTCTGGCGATCCCCGCAGAGCTCCTCACGGCTGCCTCGCCTCTGTCCCCGGGGTAGTCCCTGCGGCCTGGCGTCCCTGGCTCCTGGCTCCGTTTGTCTCTCTGCTTTGCTTGTAGGGTGTGACATTTTTTTTGCTTTCCATCCAGGTGGGGAGCAGGCACTCTGCCTCCACTGCCTGAGCCAGAGGGCACAGCTGCCCCTGGCCTCCATCCGCCCTTGGAGCTCCAGTGTGCTGCATGCTTGGGCTGCAGGGGCTGAGGCCTGTGTTCTAGAACGTTTCAGAATGTTCCCAGAGGCGCTGGACTGAGCCCCGGTTCAGGGCCAGTTGTTACCGCGGTGATGGGGTGCGCGGCTCTGGGCATTCTGCTCTGGGTGAGAGTGGTCAGTGCAGGTCAGGAGTGAGCCGTGCCCAGCACCATCAAACCTGGGTATGTGTGAACGCAGGAAGTGCATCTTCCGGTCCCTGCTCTGGACGCTGCCATCATGGCCACTGCTGTCCCCTCCAGGGGCGACATTGCTCTCCCACACATGTGTCTCAAACCATGAATAGGGTGGGGGTGGAGTTGCTGCCCCCCTCTGGGAACTCTATTCTGGTGTACATGTATGCATGTCATGCACGTGCCTGTGTATGAACGTGTGCACAGGTGTGCACTCCTGGGTACGCACGTATGTGTACATATGCCCAGGTATGTGTGCGTCCGTGTGCACGGGTGTGTACCGACCCTCTCCAACTCACAGAGGGAAGACTGGCCCCTGCACAGACTCGAGTGCACCCCCATGGTGGTTTTCGGGGAGAACTGGAGCCCGTCCGAGACGGTGAGGCTGACGGCGAGGGTCCTGGCCAAGCAGGTGAGGGCTCCTCCCGACTGTGTCTGCTCCATTCCCAGCCGTACGTGGGGTGGGGAGCAGGCGCTGCATCACAGAGGGGTCCATGCGGCCAAGGGGGAGGGGGAACGCTATGTGCCTGCCTGCCACTTGGGGCCCCGCCTGCGAAAGCTGGAGGCTCTTGCTCTGTCCCAGAGATCTCTGCGAGGCGCCCAGCCCAGCTCCCGTCGGAGGGGCAGGGAGGGGTGGGGAGAGAGTTTCCAGGTGGAGGTGGAGGGAGGGCATGGCTGTGGCTGCACCTCCTGGGTGTGATCCCGGGCTGTGGCTGGGCCCCGGGACCCCTGAGAGGTCCGGGCCATCCCGGGTGGGCGGGAGCGGCCGCTGCGTGATTACAAAACAAAACAAAAGGCAGAGCAGCCGTGCTCGGGCCTGGCAGAGGATGAGGAGCAGCTTGCCAGCCAGCCGGGGGGCGCCGAAATGTTAACGAGGGAGGTGAGGGCCCGCGGACCACCTGTATCCCCCCGCTGAATGGCCGGATGACAAAGACCGCCCCGGGCCAGCGCTCCAGCCCCGCGTTTGAACTCATGTCAACACCAAGTTTATTCAGGGGTTCAAAGCCGCTCTGGCGCTATTGTGGTTGCTCTGGGGGGCCGGGAACAAAGGCAGGCGCGTTTCAAGGACTGCGGCCCACTGGCAGCACCCGCGCTTTGTGAGAGGAAGAATTAGCCTAGAGAAGGGCTGAGGTGGGGAGCGGGGTCGGCTCAGAAGGTGAATAATAAGCCGGCGCTGCCTGATGGGCCCTTTCAAGTGAGGGGGCTGCAAAGTTGGTCCCTAACGAGCGTCCCGAGCCCACGGTGTGCCAGGGGCTCGGGCTTCAGACCCGAGGGGGCTCCTGACCCCAGCATACTGGGGTGAAGCCCTGGAGAACCCCAGCACAGCCGGGCTGGAGCCCTTCCTCCTGACCCTGCCAGGATGGCCGGCGCGGTCAGCTGGGAGTCACCAGGAGGGACCCCTGAGCCCCTGAACGTCAGTGGGAGGGACCCCTGGGTAGCGGGGAGCCCCCCCCCAGATAAAATGACCTTTCCCGAGAGCTGTTTGGCTTGGGGTGTCAGGCAGGCAGCTTTCGGGGGCCCAGACTGCGGTTTCTGTTTGAGGGGCACACCCGGCAGTGCTCATGGCTTACTCCTTCCTGGGTCTGTGCGTAGGGATCGCTCCTGGTGGGGCTCAGGAGACTTGTGGGGTGCCGGGTCTTGAACCCGGGTCGACCGTGTGCAGGAAGCACCTCCCACTGTCCTGCTGCTTGGCCAGATCTGTCTGTTATACGTTCTGCCCCCGTGGGGGTGGGGGGTGGAGCCACTCCCAGTGACCCTGGGGTGGGACCCGGAGCCTGCACATCTCCCTGGAGCACTGTGGACTCGGAAATAGTGGTCTGCACCCCAGGGAGCACAGCTGGTGGGACTGGTGGTGCACGCGCTGAGCCCGAGCTTCCTCCCATCCCCAGAAGCTGCACCCTGAAAGGACGCCCTCAGAGCGACTACTGGCTGTGAAGGAGTTTGAATCCCGTGAGTCTCGGGGTGATGAGGGGTGTGTCTAGGTGCACTGTGCGGTCCAGCTGGCCCACGGGCTTGCGGGGGTGGTGTTGAAGCCCTCGCTTCTTCCCTGGCCCTGGGATGCCCTTTGCAGACTGGACTGGCGTTTCTGAGCTGACCCTCTGTGGGGGATGGCGACCATGGCCTCCACGAGCCTCAGGGCTTGCAGCTGGGTCAAGTCCTGTTGATGGCTGTGGCCCTTTCGGGGATTTTTGGTGCTGGGTGTTGAAGCCAGGGCCTTAGTATGTGAAGCATTTGCCCTACCACTGAGCCATCTTTCTGGCCCTTGTGTATCTTACTGGCCAACACCCAGGTTCTGGGCGCCCCTGCACAGAGGCAGGGAGGGTGTCCGCCCTTGGCCCCGGTCTTGCGTGTCCTGGGGACGGTGATGAGGAGACGCAGCTGCTCTGGGCTGCTGTGGGGAGAGTGAAGGCAGGGTGGGGGTGGGGAGTTCGGGGGTCTCTGCACCTCGTCCCCTCCCTGCTGCTTCCAGCAAGGGGGGCAGCACCTAGGGTCCCGCCGGTGCTTACGGGCCGCGCCCCCAGACCTGGACAAACTGGACAATGAGAAGAGAGGGCTGATCGAGAGCGACATGGCGGCCCTGCGCCACTTCTACTCGGAGCTCCTGGACATCCCGGAGCCGGGCAGCCTGCTGGGCCTCTTCGCGCAGGTGTGGCTCGTCCCTCGTTCCCACTCAGTCGTGACAGGGTGCTCCCAGGAGGGTCTGCGTGTTCCTCCTTGTCCCCCCTGGCTCCAGGGGTCACTGGAGCCTTTGTGGGGGCGTACCGGGTTGGAAGCTTCCAGAGCCTGGTCCCCAGCCCTCCGGGCCACACCACTGTTGGGAACGGGGGCTCCCTCCCTCCTCGCAGAGGCCTCTCGTGCCACCTGCTTTGACCCTCGTTTCCGAGCTGTGGGGACACAGATGTTGACCATCTGCTTCCAGCCTGGCACTGAGCACAGGCCCGCCCGAGGCCTGGGGAGAGAAAGCTCAGGGCCCACGTCCCTCCCACAGGTGAACTGCAACGGCTTCACCATCGAGGACGAGGAGCTGTCGCACCTGGGCTCGGCCATCTTCCCCGAGTAGGCCCAGTGGCATGCCCTTCCCCGCCCCCGCCAGCCCCCAGGCAGGCCTGCCCCAGCCCCCAGGCAGGCCTGTCTCCCCTGCCCCCCACGGCTGCCCTGGGACACGCATTCTCTTGTCACCCAGTGTGGCCCTCATGAACCACAGCTGCTGCCCCAATGTCATTGTCACCTACAAGGGGACGCTGGCGGAAGTGAGAGCCGTCCAGGACATTGACCCTGGAGAGGAGGTGAGGGTCTGGGGGCACCGGGCGGGCTGGCAGGGCCTCCCCGTGCTGTGTCCGGCCTGCGTGCCCATACCCTCGATGCCTCTGGGGCACGTGGTTACGTGGATGGGCACTGCCTGGCAGGACACAGAGCCCACGGGCTCTTTCGAGACATGGTCAGCCCAGTCAGCCCGGCATGCTGGGGTCCCCCACACTGTCTCCGGCCAGAAACAGACTGTGTGAAGGTCACAGTCGGGCTGGAGACAGCACAGCGTGAGCCTTCCCCAGGGGTGACCTGGCCAGTCCACACACCTATTGGGGCTCTTGACTACCACTGGGTGCCCCCCTAAAGCAAAAAGTTGCAGCCCTCATGGGTGCCAGGCCCCCTAGGTAAGACTCTGGACTTGATAGATGCCACTCGGCAGGATGGGGTAGGGCTCTGTGAGTCTGTTCCGGGCTGCTTGGCCCCCTGGGGCCGCTCGCTGGGCACAGGGCTCCAGGGACAGGGTGGGGGAGGCTGTGTCAGTGACCACCGGTGCCTCTCCCCGCCGTGGGGAGTGGAGGACTCGGACTGGGACCCTGGAGGGGCTGGGCTGGAGGGTGTGGCCCCAGCCTCCTGTCCTGGTGACAGGCTGCCATGCACAGACACCCCGATGGGACGGTGACATACATGTCCAAGAGTGGCTGCGCCCTGGCACTGCGAGCTCACCCTTGGCCAGGGTCTCCTTCGGGGCAGAGGTTGGGGCTTCCCCCGCCGCCAAGACCCCTCCCAGCTGCTTTTGTTCCGAGGTCTAGGTCTAGGCTGGCCGGCCGGACCAGCGACACAGCACGGCCTCTGTCGCCCTCTGCTGGCCACTGCTGGCTACGCTGTGCCCGCCACAGCCTGGTGGACTCCTGCTCCCCTAAACCCAGGCTTTGGGGTCCCTGTGTGGGGGCGTGTCACAGGGCGCGATGATGTTCTGGTCTTGGCGTGGTCAGGAACCTGGCTAGCAGGGCCAGGCAGTATCCAGGTCAGGTGGTGGAAGGACAGACCTTGTGACGGAGCCAAGTGCCCAGTCGGACCCCCTCCCCCCCAGAAGAGCCTGTGGTCCCACCTCCAAGTGCTGGGGAGGGGACAAGCAGAGTCTCCGGTCCTCAGCACCCTTCCCTGAGCACAGTCGGGACCCTCAGCCTGGGGGTGGGGTCTGGGCCTCCCTGCCCGTCGGAGGCTTAGTGAGTCGGGGGCTGCAGGTGTTCACCAGCTACATCGACCTCCTCTACCCCACGGAGGACCGCAATGAGCGGCTGCGGGACTCGTACTTCTTCACCTGCCAGTGCCCAGAGTGCCTGTCCCAGGACAAGGTGAGCACACGCAGGCGTCCAGGGCCTGTCCACTCACCACACTCGGGGTGTCCAGGGCCTGTCCAGCTTCTGCTTTAGAAGATCTGCTGCAAAAGGGACCATGGCGGCGGGGTGAGAAGCACCTGGGAGTGACCCCCAGGGCAGAGTGGGCCCCTCGCAGCATCCTGACCCTTGCCCTGAGTGCACTTCAGAGTGGGAGTCCAGCCCAATCTTGGGGTGAGCTTGTAGGACGTGGCTGCCTGAGTGCCAGCAGGGTCACTTCCGGGTGCAGACGGTGTGCCCGTGCGTGCATTGCCTCTGTGTATGTGTGTGTGTGTGTGTGTGTCTGTGTCCCAGCAGGGGGTGCCCCTGGGGGGGGGGTGTGGACACACCATATTGAGAGGGGCCCACAGGACAAGGCCAAGGTAGAGATCCGGAAGCTCAGCGACCCTCCAAAGGCCGAGGCAGTGCGGGACATGGTGAGATACGCACGCAACGTCATTGAGGAGTTCCGCAGAGCCAAGCACTACAAATATATCCTTGATGGGGTGCGAGGGGGCGGGGCTCAGGGATGCTCTTTGGGCCGCATGGCTGGGGCTGAGGACGAGGACCCCGAGAGGGGCTCTTGCTGGCCCGTGTTGGGGGGCACAGCCTCCCGCTCCCTGCAAGGCGATCAGCAGTGTCCGTGCTTACCGAGGACTGAAAGGACCCCTGCAGCTCCCATCCTGCGGGCGCCCTCAGCCCTCCCCCGGCTGAGACCTGGGCGGTTCGGCAGGAGGGTGGGGGTTTCCTGCTGATGGCCCGTGGTCTGTGTTCAGGGATGACCAGGCCACATGCACAGTCACACTGATCATGCTTGGAGGCCTAAGTGGCCTCCAGAGGGTGTGCCCGGGCCCCCCACACACTCGAGCTCTGCTTTTCATTTTCTCTAAGTATTTGGGACACCCCCGTGATGCTCCGAGGTTCTCTGCACTCAAGGTTCCCTCCTGACTGTGCGTGGGCGGACCTGGGGGTGCTGGGAGTTGAACGCGTGTCGCCATGTGCAAGGCCAGTGCCTTCCCCACTGGACTGCCGCTCTGCCCCTTAGTTCCGCCCTCCGCCGGCTCCTTTCCCCTTGCACCTGGCGTGGGGGGGGGGGGGGGGGGGGGGGGGAGGGGGGCCTCCCAGCCCCTCCCACCTTTCCTTGACGGCACAGCGCCCCCTGGGGAGCTGCTGGAGATCTGTGAGCTGAGCGAGGAGAAGATGGGCTCCCTGTTCGAGGAGGGCAACGTGTACATGCTGCACATGCGCTACCAGGCCATGGGCGTGTGCATGTACATGCAGGACTGGGAGGGCGCCCTGCGCTACGGGCAGAAGATCATCAAGCCCTACAGGTGAGGCTGGGTGCCCGCGGGTGGACCCTGTGCTCAGGCCGGACGCGGTGGGGACACAGCCCACTCCAGGCTCAGGTGCCCTGATGCCCACCACCCTGTCCCTTGGTGCGTCTCACCCTGCTCGTAAAGGGCCACTCTGGGGCCACTGAGCCTCCCTCCCGGGTCGGAAGCTGGGTGTCTGCATCACGGGCAGAAGTGTGGGCCAGCCCCTGTGACGGGGTGACAGGTGAGCCCCCTCTCTAGGCTGCGTTTTCAGAATCATGATGTCCGATGTCAGCCCTGAAGTCCGGAATCCACTGTCCCTGTCCAGTACTGGGGTCCGGGACACCCTGTGCTTCCCTGCTCGGGACTGGGGGCTGAGCCCTTGTCTGCTCGGACCCTGGGACACAGCCATTGCCTTCTGGGGCGGGCTGGGGTGCAAGGTGCCTGTCCCAGGCTAAGGGGTCACCCGAGGCTCACCTGAAGGGGGCAGGCACAGAACCTGCACCTGGGTCTCACGTGTGAAGCGAGTGACTGCGGCTGGGGGGGGTGTCAGCTGAAGTCCGGGGGACCCAGACTCCTTCCCCACGTCAGTCAAAGTATTCCGAGAGGACGTGGTTCCTTGGCCCTGGACCTGAGCTGGCCGGTGTGCTTCTGTGAGCCCCACTGCAATGTGTCCGAGTTTGACACGTCCCCCTCCTCGCAGCAAGCACTACCCGCTGTACTCACTCAACGTGGCGTCCATGTGGCTGAAGCTGGGCCGGCTCTACATGGGCCTGGACAAGAGGGCTGCCGGGGAGCGCGCCCTGCGCAAGGTACGTGCCCCAATCCCGCTCGGGGCTCCTGGCGCCCCACCCCCAGCATCCGTGTGTCTCAGGCTCTGCCTGAGGCACTGGTCAGGGTGTTCAGGGTGTCTAGTAGCACCTCAGTACTTTCCACTGGGTACTTTACTCAGTACCCAGACCCGTTGATGCTGGGTCTCTGGGTGTGTCTCTCATCCGCCCAGTGCTTGGGCTTTCTTGAGGAGGACGTGAGGTGCGGAGGGGCCTGGGGGCGCTGGGGCCCCGTGCCCTGGGGTCTGAGTGGGCAGCACTCGGGGCTCCCCGCAGACCGTTCAGGGCCACGGGGGTGGGGAAGTGGGTGTTCCCTGCAGTTCTCGCAGGAACCCTCAGTCTCCCCCATGGAGGAGGGGACAATGCTGTGAACCTCCTCAGATCTGGGGCTCCCAGGACGAGTCAGGGCTCACGCCACGTCAGGCTCTGCAGGGCTTGGATGGGGCCGAATACGGTTTGTCCAGAGATGGGCACTAAGGTTGCCGGTCAGCACCCGAGGGACCCCTGTGTCCTCGGGAAAGTTTCTTAGAGAAAAGCCTGTGTGTGGCCAGGTCAGCCAGGGTGAGGTCAAGGTACACGGGACGCGGGGCCCCTCGGCCTCCTGCACCATGGGCAGCTGAGCGGCTCCACGGACCCTCTGCCTGCCCACCCGCCCTCACCCCACCCCCCCTCCCTCCCCAGGCCCTGGCTATCATGGAGGTGGCGCACGGCAAAGACCACCCTTACATCTCCGAGATCCAGCAGGAGATTGAAAACCACTGAGGCCCCTTCGTGTCTGAGCACTATCTGCGTGCCCAGTCATGTGACCTACTGTGCTCCTGCTGCAGTGCTCCGCACACTCCTTAGAATAAAGAGAGGAGTTGAAGTACGCGTCCTCGTCTGCTGCGTGCGGCCGAGCGGGGAGGCCAGGAGACCCACAGCAGCCTCTGCCTCTGTCCCGCACGCCTCGCCCCGCCCTGCCCTGCACTGACCAGCGGGTCCCCCAGCGCAGGGCAGTCTGCAGACTATGGTGCTGGGACAGCAGAGACCGCCACCCCCCCCCCCACACACACACACCCGCCCCTGGAAACCATTCTCGAGGGAGGGACACACACACACATGCCCCCGGAAACCATCCTCAAAGGAGGGCCTCTCTGGGCACAGCGTACCAGCGAGAAGGGCCAGCCGCTTCTCTGGAGAGAACGCTTCCTCATCACACAAACCCTCTGAAGCCTTTCGAGGAGCCGCCCAGAGGGGTCAGGATGGGGCTCTGGCCAGAAGCCCGCGAGTGCATGCTGAGATCTCACTCACAAAACCAGGCAACAGCAGAAGCCCTTGCAGTTGACTGGGAGAGGCTGTGGGGCTGGGCGTGAGGCACAGAGATTGGGGCGGGAGTCGCGCCGCTTTTCCGGGTACGCTGTGAGACTGACCCCAGGAGGCGGGGCCAGGCCATGGCACCCTGCAAGCTGCAACTACTGCATCCCCCCCCCCCCCACGTCCCCTGGAAAGCACCTGGCCATGCTTAAGATCCCCTGAACACTGCCCGGGGTGGTCCCCCAGAACCCACGTCCAAGCTCCGTCCCCACTCGGCACCCCTTCTCTCTCCATAGAATGCCAGTCTGGCCCGAAGCCAGGAGAGATCAGCCAGCCCCAGGGGCCGCAGGGACAGCAGGGGCAGTGGGCACTGGAGGGAGGGGGAGCTTCCTGTCCAGGGCCCAGGGGGTGCTGACCTTTGGCTTTCCCCCCCTCCCCCTGGCCCTTCACATGCAGACCCTGGCCCCTCACTTCAGGTTTGAGGCAGCATCGGACCATCCCAAGAGCTGGAGAACTCGCCTCAGACATTCACAATGTTTGGTCCTTGGCCGGCGTTCCAGCGGGGGCCATCCTGCTGGCACTCACGCAGCTGGCATGGGAAGCTCGGGAACAAGCTAGGGGTGGCGGCCTGGGGGGGGGGCACTGCGCCCCTGCTGGAGACCCCCTCTGAGGTTGTTGCCGCACATGGGCTGACCTTCCTCCCCTCCATCCTGGTACAGTGGGGGCCCCAGGGGTGGGTAGGATGGGCCCTTTCTCCCTGCACCCAGGGCCCGAGTGGGTCAAGGTCTGAGCACTTGCTGTCTAGGCCAGACACCCGCTTCCACACAATACACCACATGAAGGGGTGTCCAGGGCATTCCCCGGCCCATGGAAGCCCTGACGCCCTGATGCTCAGACCTGGGAGGGCACGGGCAGATGTGTGTCCGTGCTGTGGCCAGGGTACAAGACGTTACTCGTGCTGTCAAGCACAGATATTTGCTAGGGACACAGAGGGATGTGGGATGAGGTGAGGGAGGGGACAATGGAGGGACCAGTAGGGCGGCTGCAGTCCGATCTGAGCACACAACCCACTAAGTTGCTTTCAAGAAGCCCTGGGGAGGGGCAGGAGTGTCAGCAACCCGGCACAGACAATAAGCCCGGGTGTGACTTCACAAGGCCCCGCACCCCTAGTGGACACGGGGCCCAGACACCCCAAAACTGACCCTCCCAGAGGGAGGCTGGCACTCACCACACGGTGGGGGTGGATGGGGAATGGCAGAGAGCCTTGGGGACACGGACCCCACTCTCCTCAGAGCGGACATGCTCTGACTCTGGAGAGGCTGGCTGGGTTCCTGCTGGGCAGGGCGTACCCCGGTTCAGCTTCCTGTTCTTTGTTCCTTCGTGGCAGCTCTGGAGCCATCATGTGTGAGCCCTCTGCTGGCCCCCACATCACACAGGCGCCTCTGCTCTCCCTGCCAGGCTGCCCACATCGGGGAAGGCCCTGATGCCCACAGCGCCTGACCCAGCCCCTGGTGGGATGCAGTCAGGAGGGGAATCCGGTCTGTCAGCAGCCAAGAGATCCCCCAGGGCCCTGGAGGCTGTTCCCCTGCTGCTCCCACTGTCTGGGGACAGCGGAGCGAGAGGGAAGATGGACACAGGTCACCCACGATCCCCAAAGACGTGTCGCTCTCGACAGAGTCTGGCCCACCTCCTGGAAGCCGGGAGGAATCAGGAACTCAACTGTTGGCCGTCCCCGGAGTGGGCCGGAGGAATGAAGCAGGCGGCTTCAGGCCCTGTGATGCGATTGGTGAGGGACCCTCTGCTGTCCCCAGGGCCCGCCCAGCCACCTCCCTGCACCCTCGGCTGCACAGACAGTGGACATGGGGTCTGACGGGAACAAATATATTGTGGGGACTGCGCACAGCAGTTCACAGAGGCGACTCCACGGGGGTCAAAATAAATTATCTCACATAAAATAACACGCCGGCACTGGGCTCCAGGCACTGGGATGGGCCGTCTGCGCCTCGGGGGGCAGATGTTGTCAGTCACGCCCCCGCCTCGGGGCTAGATGAGTCTGGAGTTCTGCAGGAACTGGATGAGCACCTGGTAGACGAACCTGTACTGCGCGACGGTCTGCACCATGGACACCCGCTGCTCCCGCAGGGCCCGCAGCATGGCTGGCACCTCCACCTGCTGTGGGAAGGATGGGCCGTGAGGCGAGCAGCCGGGGCGCTGGGCATCGCTTGTGGGAGCCCCATACCACATGGTCCACTGGGTGTGGCCCCCAAACCAAAGAGAAGATCCCCCCACTATATGCTTTGGCTTTTCTAATCCACGACTTGGTTCCACAACCACCTGGTAGTCGCGGCAAAGCCGTGCCACCTGCACAGGGTGTGAGCCCAGAGCCGAGAGAGTGGCGACTCCAGGTGGACACAAGGACCCATGTGGCCAAGCCCCGTGTCCAGGTATTGAGGTGCTGGCCCAGCTCCACTCTGGCGGCAGCGGCCGCTGCGGGCACATAGGTGCTGGGCATAGGAAGGGCAGTGCCACCTTGCTCTCCCGGGCGTCAATGGGCACTGAAGCCCCTCTCAGCCAGACCGCGACCCAGCAGGCAGAGGCCATGAGGGACGGACGCCAGTGCACAGTAAGTCCCCCTGCAGCCCTGGGCAGGCAGCTGACACCAGCTCTCGCACCCTCAGAGACCGTCTCTGCTGGCCCTCAGGAGCCCCCAGGGGCTGCCAGGCGCGGGGGGGGGAGACAGCTGGACTGCTGACTGGCAGCAGTGGGGAGGAGCCCAGGGTGAGGTGGCCCCTGAGGGTGACATGCCCCAGCCCACCCACCCTTTCTCCTGCGCCCTATCCCAGACCGGAGAGCAACCCGGCTTCCAGGAGACATGTAGTTTGCATGTTGGGGCCCCCGGGCCGGGACAGGGACTGCCCCCTCCCCTTGCACCCCACCAGCAGCACTGACATCTCTAGACCCAATGGGAAGTTCCCGAGTTGGCATTCTCCAGGCAGGAGGCTCATCAGACACTCCTGGACCTGTCTGAACACAGTGAGGAGCCCTGGCTGCTCGGACGGGAGGAAACGCACGGGCCACACCGAGGCCCACGGCACCTGCCCTGCAGGCCCCGCACGCGTCAGGACCTCCAAGTGCCCCCTCTGCCTCTCTGAACCCCAGGGCATGGAAATGGAGCCAGGAGCCGCTCTGGCCTCATCCACAGGCCAGTGGAGCCTGGGCCATGGCAGACACGGCGGACACGGGCCCGGCCACCCCGAGGACTCGAGGAAGCAAAGGCCCTTCTGAGAGCAGCCCGAGTATATGGACAGATGCTGGCGGCCCCTCTGCTCCCGCCGGGCCGTGATCTTCCGTGGACACGCGGAAGCTCTGGACCATGTGACCCGACTGAGACCCCCCAGAGAGCCGCCAGCACCTCGGTAGGAAACCCGTCGTTAGAAAAGCGCTTCTCTGGCCGTGCTCGGGGACGTGTGCGGCTGGACCCCACACGCTGCGTTCCCACAAGCCCAGGCCCAAGTGTCGGCCCTTGGAGCATCCCCAGAGTCTGAAGCTGTTTTCTTTTTGGAGTTTTGGGGCCATACCCAGAGGTGCCAGGGGCAGGGCAGAGTCTGTCCTCAGGCCCCCATCCTCTCCCTCGCCCGGAACCCTGTCCAGGAGCACTTTTCCATGAGGACTTGGGGCACAGCACGGCCCAGAAGCACCAGGATGCATCTGCACCCGCAGGGCCCTGGTGGTGAGTCTGGGGTGGTCCCAGCCTCACTCCCACTCTGAGCTGGCACGCCTGGCGCGGGAACGCTGAGAAGTGACCCTGGAGAAATAACAGTCTCTATTTCTCCCCTTGCGTACCCCAATGCGCTTACCTGACCACCAGGTACAAGGAGGCACAAAACCACTGTCTACACCAGCATTGTATATCGGTATCCATATCAGCTAGGCCAGGGGTACCCGCTGGGGGCCCAGGTAAAAGCTGCCTTAATGGGGGGCCAGGGCATGAGGTTGGGACGGAGAGTTTGAGGGGCACGGGAAGACAAGTGGTGAGGGAAAGGCGGTGGCCACTGCAGGCAGGCCTCCCTGCCACGTGCTGCTGACCGAGACCAGGGTGCTTCCTGGAGGGGCACAGACTTACCTCATTGTGTTCCAGGCAGCAGATCATCAGCTCGGAGAGGATGGCCACTCCAGTCCTGCCCACGCCGGCACTGCAGTGGACGACGACGGGGGCTGGGCAGGGCTGGGGGCCCTCCAGCAGGCAGTTAGTGTGGCGGCGCACGGACTGGATCTCCTCCAGGTACGCTGCGGAGAGGCAGGTGCTGTGTCACCGGCACCTGGCCACCCCCCACCCGTGACGTTCCTCCTCCCACAGTCCCTGGGACTGGGCAGCAGCCTTGGGTGTAGGGCTGGACCCAGGCACGGGCAGCAGGGAGTCAGTCTGTGGGTCCACAGGAGAATTCCTTCTTGAAATGTAATTGTTCCCTGGCAAACTGAATTCTGTGCTCCCCTCTGCAAATCCCCAAGTCCCCTGAGCAGGTGATTCCCGACATGACTTAGAGCAGATTCTGCTCCTTGCAGGCGGGAGGCGAGCGCGGGCCTGTCTCCTTCAAACGCCCGCCAGTTCTGGCCGGGAGTGCAGCCATCTGCCCTCTCGCCCCCCGGTCCACCGAGTCGGTGCCAACAGAATTAAAGATTCTAAGACAGACCTTTTCCTCGGGGGAGGAGTGGCGGGGAGGGAGGCCCCTCAATGGGCTCCCATGGTCGTGAGTACAAAGTGAGTGTGTCCTTCCGTGGCACGAAGGCCCCATGGGTCGGGATGGTTTGTGCCAACTGCCCCACCCCATCCAGCACCTGCCCCACTCAGCAGGGCCACACCAGGCCTGTCCCCATCAGGCACAGATGAGGAATCCCAGCAAGGCAGGCCTTGTGCCGTTCCCTCCTGGCGATGAGGCCAAAGGCAGAGGAGATGGGTGTTCAGAGACATCAGAGCACAGCAGAGCACTGAGGGAGGATTCCTCCCAGGCAGCCCCGGCAAGACAGAAACAGGCGCCCGGACACGCGGGGACGGCGGAACTGTCTGGGGAACATGGCCTGCTGGGAGGGGCACCTCTGGGGTCACTCGGGCTGTCACGGCCACCACGGAGGGCCCTGCTTCCTCTCAGAACTGCCCTGGGGACTGAGGAGCTGAAGTAGCTGGTGGCATCGAGCTGAGGTCACCACTGGGCCAGTGGACATGGAAGGGCGGGAGGGGGCGCCTCCAGACACCGCCGGAACAGAGGCGCGCCCAACACAAGAGTCTTGGCCCCATGGCTGGGCTGGCAGCAAAGGCGCTTCTCCCCTCAGATGCAGGCCACGGTCACTGCCAGCACACAGGTCTGCCTTGCACGGCACGTGCCATCATACTGTGGGCGCTACCACACTCGCACGCGTGTGACAGACTGGCGGGAGCAGCAGCCACGTGGGAATCAGGAGCACCGGGGTAGCAGGGCATGAGGCTGACCCGGTCCAGTACCCAGTACCACAGGGGTCCCCACGACCCCACCAGGAGTGAGCCAGGAGAAAGCCCGGAGCATCACTAGCTGTGGCCCCAAGTCCAAAACTAAAAATAAGAGGGGCAAAAGGAAAAGTTACATCTCACTTTGCAGACATGTTTTAGGAAAGGCAGCAGTGGGCTGGACGGGGCCCTTCATGGTCAGGTCTGGGGCCTGCAGGCTGGATGTGGAACCCAGGGCCGCAGGCTCAGATGCCGGTGCTGGGAAAAGCTTCCCAGGTCCATCCCGGCAGCCTGCTGCTCCAGCCCCAAGTGTAAGGGCCTGGTGCAGGCTCCTTACACCTGCCCGTGAGTTTGTTTACAGGGTTTGAAAACACTCCCGACTTTTCTTTTCTTTTTTTTTTTTTTTGGTTTTTGGGTCATACCCGTCGATGGACAGGGGTCACTCCTGGCTCATGCACTCAGGAATTACTCCTGGCGGTGCTCGGGGGACCATATGGGATGCTGGAATTCAAACCTGGGTTGGCCGCATGCAAGGCAAACGCCCTACCCGCTGTGCTATCACTCCAGCCCAATACTCCCGACTTTTCAAGAATATACTCAGGCTTCCTTTAGAGGGGGTTGATGACAAAGGTCTGACTGGAATATGCTCAGTCTGTCGGCACCTCCTGCCAATCAGCAGACGTGGGAGAAAAAGCCCCAGAGTTAGCAGAAGAGGCAGAGGGGGCGAAAAGGCCGCACGATGGGGTGACAAAGGTCTCTAGCTTCATCCTTGTCATTGTCAGCAGCTGCTGGCTTGGGCATGTCACGAACCCTCACTGGCTCCTACTCTAGGCTCCGGGACCCCCGCGCTTGGGGAAGGAAACTTTGGGGACTGAACACTGGCACCCCTATGCATTCTACATGCAGATCAGAACAAAACCCATGATGGGACGCTTGCTGACCCAAGGGGGCTCTATCGGTGGTGTGGGCGAGCGCCAGCCATGGGGCAGTTTCTGCCCACACCGAGCCCAGGCAAGGTGTGGAGAGGCTGTGAGGGCCGAGGCACCAGGCCAGGGGCCAGGCAGACCCCTGCCCCAGCCCACGGGCTCCCGGGTGGCCACCTATCAGAGCGTCACCGGCTGTGTCTGTCCCCCTCTGCCAGAGTCCCCCAGCGGTGGCAGCGAGGGGCAGAGGGCCTCCGTGCTGGCAGAGCGAGCAGCTGAGCCTGGCTCGTAAGCGTCAGGGAACACTTGGCGCTGCGTGTCCCTCTCAGGAAGAAGGGTGCGCTGCACGCTGCAAGGCTCTTGTGGGTTTGTGGCCCAAGAGAAGATGCCTGTGTGTGTCCCTGCCATGACTCAGGTGGGGTGGGATCCCCCAGGCCCCAGGGGGACTTACCCAGAAACCCCTGGACGTCCTCAGGGCAGCCATGGTCCGGCCAGTCAGTGTACTGCAAATGCCACACCGTCCTTTCCTGTCCGGACAGAAGGTGCTTGACCTTCAAGCCCGTGGTCGCGTAACAGCCAGAATCTGTGCGGAACTTGGTGGTGACCTTGAACTTGCCATAGGTGGCAGCACTGTGCTTGGAGCCCAGCCGGGGCCAGTATCGGTGGCTCTTGGTGCGTCCGCCCTCCTGAGTGACACACAAGCCACAGCGAACAGTCAGGAGCTGCACGGCACTAGCTGCTGCTGGGGCCCGGGGCACAGGCAGCCCCGCCGAACCTCCAGCTCACCCCTCGCGCCTGCCACGTCGCTGGGGGCTGTGGCTGCGAGGAACAGAGGGAAAGCCTGTGCCACGTGCGTACACCCGGAGCAGCGGAATGTTCCAGAAATGGAAAGGCCTCCCCATGGCTAAGGGTGGGGGGCCACAGTAGGGAGCTGGACAGGGTCCAGCCCACAGTGGGCAGCGACCAGTGGGACAGATGACCCAACAGCTAGGTGAGAATCCCTCTGCAGGCCAGCCTCCACCACTCTCCTCCTGATGGACGCCCGTCTGACCCTCGGCACTAGCTGGACCCAGGCCTGCAACCCGGCTGATTGGGCACCTCTCTGCCGGCCCCTCCTGGGCCTGACCCCTGGCTCCCTCCATGCGCGCACACACACGGACACTGATGGATTTAGTGCCACACATGAAAAGTCATGAAAACCGTCGGTCAGACCCAGGTCACGTACTGTGAAGTGTGACCTCTGAATGCACGTGTCCTATCTAGACGTGCCCACGTTTCAGAGGCCCAGGGGCCTCTGACGGGAGCAGATCTGCAGCCCTGGGGCCCGTCGCTGCCCTGGGCCCTCCGCCCACACCCAGGGATAGCACCTCTCAGGGGCAGGCCCCAGGCTGCCTCCTTCACGGCATGCAGAGCACGGAGGGGCCTGTGCCTGTGCAGGGCGGCTGGGCCTGAGCATGGCCGCTCAGCTGTGTGCTGTGTCCCCGCAGCCAGGCTGTGGCTCAGAAGGGGCAGGAGGGGCGGGCCTGGGTGGGGCCAGGCCTGGGGCAGGTGATGAGGGGCTGTGGGGAAAGGCCGGGCAGCACGGAAGCTACTCTGGGGCCCATTTGGGTCTGGGTCTCCCCATTTGGGGCAGCACTTCTGCTCGAGGCCACCCCGTGGGGTGAGGACGGGGAGACGAGGTATCTGGGGAAGACCCCCGGGTCTGTGGGGAAGGCTGAGGGGCGCAATCCCGTGGGTGCCCTCGACACGGTCAGCCTTGGTGCAGCCCTTACCTCCTCCGCGGTCACCATGGCGATCACGTTGGCGCCCTGCTCCCAGACCATCTGCCAGAACTCGTGGCATGTGTGGGGCAAGGGCCCCTGGGTGGCTATGTAGTGCCACTCGGCACCCCCAGCCACCACCTGCAAAAGAAGACAAGGGCGTGAGGGCACCCCGAGTCACCCCGAGCTCCCCGCCAGTGGGATCCAGAGTGTTTTCTGGGTTTAGTGGGTTTGCGCCATGACCAGCGGGTCCCAGACCCCGCTCTCACGCAGGCGTCTGAGCGCACCCCCGTTCCGTCTCTGAGCGGGGGATGACGGCAGCAGTGCCCCTGGTGCAGGGCCCCACAAGAAACCCTGCCCCCACAGCCGGCTCCACGCACACCTTGCCAGCCCCTGCCCGCGCTGTGCCAGGCACTCTGGCCCTGCGTGCTCCTGGGGCCACCACTCCAGATGATGCCCTTACCAACCAAAGGAGCCTGCGGCGGATCAGCCTGCCAGGGCCTGACCACTGGACCACCCTCGTCCAGTCTGGCTGGCAGAATATCACAGTAGTGACCGCTAGACAACTGAGCATTGCGTGGGCACCATCTGCCTTAAAAAAAAAAAATTTAAAAAAAGTATCCAAACCTGGAAACTGACTTTCCACTGAAATCCTGTGTTGGGGCCAGAGTTGGGAAATACAGGACGTCGTGGTGACCACACAGTCCACTGAGACCGGCCTGGCTGGGGACAGGGGCTTTCGGCTGCTGAGCTCACTGGTCTGCTATCTGGGATAAGCGATCCCTCCCACACAGCCCAGCTCAGAGAGACACGTCTAGACTGCAAATGTTAACGTTCACTCAGGTGGGATGGCCTGGGGTGGTCAGTCCTGGTAGAGCCCAACGCTGTACTTAGAATGGGGCCCAGGACCCAGCTGTGTGTGTGTGTTGGGGGGGGGGAGGGCGGTCAGCGCAGGGTGGCTTTTGAGGGTCTTTCCTCTGTCCTGGCGCCATGTCAGTGCAGACCCATAGGGCTCTCCACTCAGACAAGGGTGCTGGCGTCCACATTTCCACCTCATTCAGTTTTGGAATCATGTGCCAACTTGATTCAAACAAAAACTGTCAGTGAAGGTCTCATTAGCCAAAGGATGGTTAGGTCAAAGCTGGCAAAAGAGCCCGTTCCCCAAAGGCCAGGAGCGGGGGCCTGCGCCCGCATTTGCTGGCAAGGAGCTGGGCAGTGCAGGCGCCAAAGCAACAGCCTACAACAGCCATGACATTTCCAGAGCCCCCAGCGCCCGGAGCATCTCCGAGCAGAGACGGGAGGGCATTCAGAGTCGCAGTAAGGAGCCGGCAACCAACACGAGCAAGTCCACAGCAGACACCGCCCGCCTCTGCCGCAATCAATCCCCGCGCCCAGCACTGACGGCAGCCGGGAGCCGGTGGACACAGTGGTGAGGGCAGCCTCTGTTCCAGCACGGACAGGTCCTCACAGGCACCTGTGCCCGTGAAACACCCATGTCTGACTCGGGGCACAGGGTGCAATGTGGGCCAGGGAGAAAGGGCATCTGCCAACGATGCCCGCCAGGCCCCAGCAGTGACCACCACAGCTAGGCAAGAGCAGGTAGAGGATGGCGGTTTGACCAGGCGCAGGACGCAGTTCACAGCAGGGTCACCAGCGGGGAGGGCAGCCACACCATTTGCTCAGGCTCAGGCCACGTGGGCACTGTGTCCACGAGGAGCTCCGAGCCAGCCTCACTGGCCTCCCGGATGTAGCGGTTTGTGTCTGCCTGCTGTGCTTCCCACACTCCGAGACACGAGCAGCCTTGTCATGCTGAAGAACTGGGCAGGGGTCTCTGAGGACCTGCCCCTCCTGGGTCTCGGGGGAAAGTGGCTCTAACTGAGCTCTGGGCGTAGGAGGCGAAAGAACCGCCCATAGCCCGCTAGGACCGAAAGCTCGAGGGGAAACAGCAGGACTCTAAGGGCTGTTGATCAGGGGACTGTTCACACTCACCGTGGGCTGTGCAAACACGTCCGGCATTACGCCAGGAAACTAGGTCAGCAGATGTGGAAAGACCGAGTGCCATCCCCAGCACTACTGCCCACATCCCAAGCACTGCCAGGTGCAGCCCCTGAGCACTGAGTGGGGAGCAACCCCGAAGCACCCGTGAGTGTGACCCAAAACAAAGCCCAAGAAGGCTGGAGAGATGATACAGGGGTTTCAGGTGCTGACACCTGACCGTGGCTCAAATCCTAGCACCACACATGGTCCCCCAGGAGGTCACTCCTGGGCACCACTGGGAGGGGCCCAAACCCTCCCCCACCCCCCTAGGCAAAACCTGAAGGAATCCCATTTCCTGTGTGAGCTGCTTTAACGACAGGACACGCGTGCACCCGCCACCAGGCTCCTGAGCCCCTCACCCTGATGTGGGAGGCGTTGATGTAGCCCGCGCTGTTCTCTTTGGAGGGCGGGAGTGCCACGCGGTTCTCCTCGTAGGGCAGCACCTCGCGGGTACGACTGCGCTCGGCATTCTCGGGCAGGGAGGCTGTGCTGAAGTCGGCGCCCGCCTTCCTCTTGGGGATCTGCTCGTACTCCGTGAGCACCAGCCCCTCCTCCAGCCTCTTCTTCAGGCTTCTGAACTGCAACAGAAACGCGTCTTCAGCGCCTGTGACCCGTCAGCCACGGTACCAACCAGGCCATTGATGCCGACACGTCCGTCCCCAATGACATCACCCGCTGACCTATCATGCGCATTTCGCTGTCCGAGACGGACCACCTCATGCTGGCGCTGAGTGTGGATCCCATGCCCCCCCCAACCCTCCCTCCAGCGGCACAGCTGCCATTATGGATGGAGCCAGCCGCGTGTCCACAGCTTAAAGGACTCACTGGTTCCTCCTTCACCGCCTGTACTCAGACCCGTCACAGTGCCAATACGGGACAGACCGACCTACAGTGACCAATGGACTGATGGACCCACCGACTAACACCCTCAGCCCTCCCTGGCCCCGCCCAGCTGATGCGCCATCTTGGGCTGAAGTCCTTCAGGTATCTGCCCACAGCCTGGCACCATCACTGGTCACAGCAGTGGGGAGGACGCTCGCCACGCCACGGTCCTCTGCTCACTGCACGTTTCTGGGCCTCCTGGCAGAAGCCAAAGGACGCCCTTTCCCGGGAAGGAAAGACCCACAACCCTCGCGGGCAGCGCCTCTGTGCTGAGAGCCTGGTTCTCACAACACGGTCTCCTGCCCCTGGTGTCCGCCGTGGCAGGGCAGTCACGAGGCCCCAGCCTGCTGTGGACCCCAAGGAGCGCCTCTCCCAGCCTCACCTCTGCCTGTGCCCCCGCCCTCGTCCAGAGCTTCCCCACCCATCCTGATGTGCCTCTCCTGGGGCACCTTGGAACATGCTGGCAGCCCCTGGAAGCCTGTCCAGGTCTGGGGAGATGGGCCCTCCAGAGAGGGACAGCACAAAGCCACTGACTGTCATGCCTCCTCCTCCCGCCTGAACCCAGAGTGAAGGTGGCCCAGGACCTGGGGAGCTACAGTGCCCACCTGGTCGAGTGCGCCCCGACACAGGGAGGAGGGGAGTGCGGAGCCCGGGCCTGCAAACCAGGGCCTCCCTGCTTACCCTCTCGTCCACGGGCACCTGAGGGGCACTGCCCTGGCCGTCCTCTCGCCCTGGGACCCGGGCCACCGACAGCCCGTTGAGCGCCGCCAGCATCAGCGGCCTCTTCTGCGCCTCCAGGCCTGCCAGCTTCTGCTTCTCAAGATTCTTGGGGACAAGAAAACGCACGTTCTTATTGTTGGCATTACCAGGGGTGGCTGGACTGTGCGTTAATCTCCGGTCCCCAGCCAGGAATGCAGACGAGCGAGCACTGTTAGTGGGAGGAAGGCAAACACGGCCACCCCCGCCCTCCCTGCCCCGTGGGCAGCCGGCCTCGCCCACAGCATGCTGGGCCCTTGGAGGGGAGCAATGGGTGCGCGGATGCCTGAGTGTGTGATACACATCGCGTGGGTGCACGGGTATGTGGGTGCACAGGTGCCAGACGCATGAGGATGGATGCATGCACAGACACACGGGTGTGTGGGTACACGGGACGGGTGTGTAGATGCATGGGTGTGTGGATGCACAGGTGTGTGGGTGCATGGGTGCATGGGTGCACTCATGAAAGGAAGGAGGTAGGACGGGAGGAAGGGGGGAGGGAAGGCAGGAGAGAGGAAAGGAGGGAGGGAGAATAGAGGGGGAGAGAGGTAGGATGGTGGGAGGGAGTGAACGGAGAGGGAGGGAGGGAGGAAGGAGGTAAAGGAGGAGGAAGGGAGAGCCGAGGGGGAGGGAGAGAAGTACAGGAGGGAGGGAATAAGGGGAAGGAGGGAGGGAGGGAGGAGGGAGGAGGGGAGCTGTGCTCTGGAAGAATCTGCTCTTATCATCTAATTGGGAAAACTGCCTTCCTCTTTCAAATACAAAAACAAAGTACCAAAAGAGTCAGAAATACAAGGTTCCAGGAGGAATGTGAGCCCAAAGACCAACACACCGGCCTGGGCGAGGAGTCCCCCCACATCAGGTCTGACCAACCAAGGTGCCCACAGCCGTCTTGGGGCACGCCTGATGCCTGGGGGTGTATCGGGTGCCGGGCAGTGTTGGGTGCTGGGGGTCTCAGCATGAGTCTAAAGGGCCACGAAGGGGTCAGGAATCTGGGATGCTCCCGGCCAGTCCTCGGCCCCAAGCACACGCCAGGAGCCTGAGCCCGGGTCCCTCTCCCGCCCGACGTGAGCCCCCGGTGTCCCGCGCGGCCCACCCACTCACTCTGATCATCACTTCCCGCTCCACGATGCTGTCCTCCAGCGAGAACATCTCGGACACGGGCCGCTCCTTCAGCGGCTCCTTCCTGACCCGCTCCTTCACGCTGCTCAGGTCCGGCTCCGAGATGGAAGGGCCCAGGGCGGGCCCCCCGCCGACAGCCAGTGAATCGGCCCGGGTGGCCACGCCAGGGGCCCTGGCGGGTCCGTGCCGCAGTGCCCACGCCTGAGCCGCGGCGGGCAGCCGGCAGCCCCCCGGGTCCTGCCGCAGCGCCCCGTTGCTCACGCTCTTCCGGGGTCCTGGGTACTCAGGGGGCGGCTTGTCAGGGATGCGGGCCAGCGCGGCCTGCAGCTGGGCACTGTAGCCCACCTCCTCGCACAGCGCGGCCAGGGCGGGTGCCACCGTGGGCACAGGCCCCTCCCGCTCGTCCTCGTCCTCCTCGTCCTCGCTGCTGTGGATCAGCATGGTGGCGTCAGAGAGCGTCTTCTGGTGGTGGAAGTGGGGCCCCTCGCCGGGCGCCTGCTCCCGCAGCGTGCTGCTGGGGCGGGCTGGGGACCCACACAGGGGCTTGAGGGCCTCCGTGGCGCGGAGCGCAGCGCTCATGGCCTGCAGGCTGCGGCGCTGGGCGGCCGACAGCGGCGCGCTCACCTCCTGCAGTGACTGGTGCACCACGGGGCAGCTGTCCTCCTGGAACGTCTTCACGGACAGCTGCACCTTGCGGGTCACCAGGTCCGGGCTGCTCCCACTGACGTAGCACTGGTGGCGGTGGCTGGCCAGATCGGGGGTGCTGGTGGCCGGCCGGGGCCGGGGGTATGTGGGCGGCGGCCGGAAGAGAGAGCACTTGAGCGCCTGGGCGGGGCTGTAGCTGGGCAGGGCCTGTCTCTGCACGTTGGCCAGCTCTGGAGTGCTCACCGTGTGGGAGATGGCATGGGTCCCCGGCTGGCTGGGCACCACGGCCGCGTGCCGGGGGTTGCTGGGGGCACCCGGCCCTGCCTGCCAGGGCCCGTAGCCCCCCCGCGGGCCACAGGGGAGCGCGCAGGGGGCCCGCTCGCGCATCTCGGGCTGGCTGTACACCAGCTCCTCGGGCCGGCTGTAGGCATGGGCATGCAGGAGGCTGCGCAGAGACTGGCTCTGGCCATCAGGCCGGGGAGCGCCCCGTTTCAGCTGCCGCATCACCGTCTCGTAGTCAGGGGTGGGCCGGTATGAGGGCACGATGATGGCACTGTGGCGGTGGCTGGGGATGCAGTCGGCACCCAGGGGGTCGCTGCCAGGGATGCTGAGGCTAGAGGATACAGGTGAAGCCTGGAGGAAGCTCTGCGAGCAGCTGAGCGAGTTCACGCTGCACACACTGCCGTTGGCCACAGGGCCGCCCAGGTAGCTCAGGTCCAAGCTGTTGTGCGAGGCGTAGTACAGGGCGTCCTCGTGCCCAGGGAAGATGCTGTCTGCGACAAGGCCACGCAGCACGTGAGCTGCTGTCCCAGGGAATGCACGCACACAGGTACACACACACGCGCGCACATATACACACGTGCACACAGGTGCACAAACATGTACACGTGCACATACATGTACACAAGTGCACACACATGCACACACGTGTACACATACACACATGCAAACACGTACACGAGCGCACACATATGCACATACACATGCATATAGTTTCACACATGTACACATACACATGTGTGCACACAGGTGCACACGTGTACACACATGCAGATTCACACATGCACACATGAACATAGGTACAGACATGTGTGCACACCCATGTACACATGCACATGTGTACTCACTGTACCCACATGCATGCACACGTGTACTCACGTGTGTATACATATGCACACTTGCACACATGTACACATGTATACACATGTACTCACAGGTACATGGACATGTGTGCCCACACCCATGTGTACACACATACACACAGATATACTCACACAGGTACATAAACAGTGCAGTACACTCATACACGCATACACATGTAATCACATGTGCACACAGGTATACTCACATGTATGCATACATATACACAAGTCTGCACCCCTAGGTCATCCACAACCCCATCACTTCTGAGGCAGCTCCAGGCTGCAGCAGGGACCCCAGGAGAGGGTACAGCCAACATGGACAGAGCAGCCTGGCCACAGTAGTGCATCAAGACGGGCCCCCAGAGTCCACAAGCCTGTCAGCCAAGGGGCAGAAGGCGGGGGCTACCAAGGCAAAACTCTAGCTGGGCAACAAGACTTGAAATGAGGAACTACTGGCCAGAGAGAAAGAGACAGGGCAGTAGACAGGGCACCGGCCTTGCATGCATTCGACCAGGGCTCGACCCCAGTGCCCTGTAGGATCCTCTGAGCACTGACAGAAGGGACCCCTGAGCTCAGAGCCAAGAGTAGCCCTGAGCACAGCCTGGTGCGTCCCAAACCACCCCACCTGCTTTAACTGTTCCTGGCAGTCACAGTCAAGATGTCCTTCCCCGGGGAGGGCCCAGGCATGACCATCCACTGCCATCAGAGCCCTCACAGGGAGCGAAAGTCTTACTCTCAACTGAGACTCCCCACTAACCACTTCGGCCCGTCCGCAGAATGGTCACCTGCAGTTTAAAGAGAATAAGCAAGTGCTCAAGGGCACCTCATGCTACACACACTTGCATGCACACACGGAGATACACTCACGCACAGACACACACAGACACTCATACACACACACACCGATACGCACATACACACAGAGACACACACTCACACACTGACACACACACTCATGCACACAGACACACACAGACACACATACAGACACGCACACACACGCACACACGCACACCAGCCCAGCAGTGACAGAGAGCAGGATGTGTCCCCGTCTGGTAGGGTGTGACCATCTCTTCTCAGGAAGCAGCCCCACCCCATGTCGCATTGACTCTCGTGCAGACCCGGTGACGAGCCCGCAGGGGGAGGCGCGCACAGAGTGTCCTTTCTGGGAGCCCGCTGGGGAGCCCAAGGAGCAGATTTTTGCTTTGTTTATTTATTCATTTTGCAGCCCTCAGATCTCATAATCTCCCCCCTCACCGAGAGGCACTAGCAATCCCAGAGTGCTGAACTGGGAGGAAAAGGCAATCAAGAGATACGGCAGAAAGGCAGCAACGTGCCCGGGTTCGAGACACCAGTCCTTCTCGCTCTAGAGGGCCACTGGTCATCACTGGGTAGAAGCAGTCTCACAGCCAGAGCCTAGGTGCCCCCGCCTCCGGGCCGCCCCTGCTGCTGGCACATGGGCCCCAGGGGACCCCAGGAGGCAGCGGGAGCCCGTGCCATACTGAGGACAAGTCCATGTGGTCCTCAGAGACCAAGGACAGTCGCCAGCCTCTGCCACCCAGCCCGGGCCTCTCTGGGAGTGGGGGGGGGGGGGGGGGGCACGCCCTCTTGGCCTCAGTCCCTCTTCTCAGTGGGGCCCGTGTGTCTTCTCGTGACTGCTGGATACAGGGGGCCACACCCACCACACCAGCGCCCTCTGCTGGCAACACTGTGCCCTCGGCTGACCCCTGCGGGCTTTCTCTGGGAACACCCTGAGTGTTACGGATTGACCTGGCCTCCCCCTACCCGTCCCCCAGGGCCTGCTGTGTGCGTGAGGACGAGATGGGGCTCTGGCTGGGAAAGATGGAGGCCATCACCCCAACTCTGCCACTTCCCAGAAAGACCCCTCTGCTATCCCTGGGTTACCTTGGGAAGTGTGACTCTCCGGACAGTGCTCTCCGCACGGGGCATGCACGGGGGGCAGGATGTAGGGCTGCTGTCGTGGCTGAAACAGAGAGGTGGGGCTGGGCACCCGCCAGAACACACCGTGTCCCCCTCACGATGCAGTGGCCTCCCCCAGACTCCCTCTCCTCCAGCCGCCAGGCAGGGAGAAGTGACTGGTCCTGGTGACAGGGGAAGGGGTCGCCACACCCACAGGGGCAGGGAAAGGGGCTCCGTCAGGATCTGTCCCCCAGCAGGGGCAAGCTCCCGGAGCTGGTGCCGCCCACCACCCCTCCGAGGAAGACAGGAAAGATGCAGGTCACCTCTCCCATACAGAGGCCTGGGTAGATAGAAGCAGTCGGCGCCTGGGGCCACACCCTGAGGTGCTCCTGGCTGCCTCCTGGTTCTGTGCTTGTGGATCCCTCCTGGCAGTGCTCAGGGAACCCTATGGGGTGCGGGGATGGACTCGGCAAGCACCCAGCAGCTGGATCTCTGACCCTGGCTGTCCTTGTTTGGTACAAAATCACCCTAAGCTGACAGCAAAGAATCCTTAAAAGAAGGAGCCCCTGGAAGACAAGCCCCAGCACCTCCCGCAATACAGCCCCTGCACCTGGGGCTGACATGGCTGGAGACAGCCGTGCCCAGACCCCAGGATGGCATGGCCTTCGCACCGACCTCCCCACACCGAGGCGGGCAGGCCCAGAGCCTGTCAGCTGCATAGAAGCAGCTGTGGCACTGCAGTTCCCACTGGTCCATGTCAGCTGGGCTCACGTGGCTCTGGCCCATGTCCAGATCAGTGACCAGCACACCAATGATGGCGCTGCTCACCAGCATTGATGCCATCCAACATTGATGCAGTGTAGACTGCAGTGACACAAGAGTGTCTGCCGCTGGTGACCAAGGACGTAGGCACATGCTGTAACCAGAAACAGGAAGAAGAGAGGGGCCAGGAACACAGCCCAGAGTGGGCCTGGGGACTCGGACTCCTCATCTTTGCTCAGGGGCATGAGGACAGGCAGGGGGACAGACGGGGGGCGGCCGGGTCTCAGCACAGCAGTGGAAGACGGGGACACTAGGCACAGCCGGGCAAGCCGGCAGCAACGTCCTTCTGCCTCCCAAACCACCTGCCTGACCAGCACCGGGTGACCCACCCCTGCCAGCGCGGGACCTACCAGTGAGGAGCGGCTCCATGTGGGCTGCCTTCGGATGGGAGGCGGAGAGCTGGCCGGCCTACGAGACAGGGGTGAGGGGCCGCTGCTGCTGGTGCCCGAGGGGCAGCCCATGTCGGGGGTGGGTTTGCCTGGAACCCAGGGGCTCAGGCGTGGTTGGCCCCACTGCAGTCCCAGTATGGGTTGGAAATGGAGGCATGTGACTTCCGGGATGTTCTGAACAGTTATTAACACGGGGCCCCCATCAGCCACAGGAGCACCAAGAAGCAGTGGTCAGCGTGCTGGCCCCTTGGGCCTGGGCAGGAGGGTACTGGGTCACTTACTCGGTGCAGATCTTGTTCTGCTTGTAAAACTTGTGCCTGGTAGCAAACAAGCGCGAGATGTACTTGGCATGTTCAATATCGTCCTGGAAGGAGAAGGAGGACAGCCAATGCCCGAGCAGCCTTGAGTGTCCATGTGGCGCTGGGTGCAGATCCCCGGCCCCCCACGCCTAGCACCGACCAACAGGCAGACAAGCTACACCCGACAACCCGCAGAACGGGGTGGGAGGGTGTCCGGGTCCCACTGAGGCCCAGAAATGTCCGGGTCCCACTGAGGCTCCAAATGCTTCCACAGAGCACATGGGGACAGACATGGGAGCAGGGACGCGGGGTGGGGGTCCAGGCACGGCTGGTCTCCGGGTAGTTTTCACAGGCCGTATGTATTCAAGGCCACCCACAGTTACTGCCACTGGGCTTGGAGAGCGCCCCCAGCTGGGCCAGAGGCAGTGCATGCCCCCAAGCTACCCCCCAGACTCAGGCCTGCTGAGCCCGAGACCCCTCAGGACCGGAAGAACCCGCGCGGCTTACAGTGTGGAAGAGAGCCGTCTCCTCCTTGTGGAGCAGCTCGGCCAGGACGGTGGACTTGTTGTGGCTGATGTTCCCGATGTCGCTCCACCTGGCCAGAAAGCCAACTGTTGTGTGCAGCGGCAACAGCGGCACAGATTCCACCCCCCGGCCCTCCCCTCAGAGCAGGAGAGGACAGGTCAGGCCCCCAGACCCGGCCTCTACTGGGGCTGCTGCGGTTTCCTCTAGGGCAGTAGCTTCCCCACCCCCGGGAACTTCCCAAAGGCGGGATCCACCATCTGCGCCCCCAGGGGGCTGCAGTATATGATGGGGGCAGACCCCATCTTCCTGCTCACCCCTACCAGGCAGCTGGGGACAGTGGACACAGGGACAGGGCAGTTTCCTGCGGAGGCGGGGAACGCCACACCTTCCCTGGCACCGGGGAGAGGGCAGAAACCTCCTGCACCCTCACAGCCCTCCGGGACAAAGATGCTCTGAGTCAGAGATAGCACAGTGGGTAGCTGACCCGTGTTCGAGCCCCAGCATCTGACACGATTCCCCCCAGCCCACCAGAGAAATTCCTAGTGCAGAAGAGCCAGGAGGAACCCCTGAGCACCACCCGGTGTGGGCCCCCAAAGAAGTCAAGAAGAAAAAGAGAGACAGGAAAGGAGATGCTTCTTGCAGTGAAACCGGCTCCAGTCAGGAACGCTGCCAGGCCGGGTGGGGGGGGCCTACCTGTACACCAGCACCTGTCTCCCCACACGGCTCCGCACGAACACACCCATGAAGAAGACGCCCAGGTGCACGCTGCTGCCCTGATTGTCCTGCGGGGGAAAGGGGCTGAGCGACAGGCCCCGGCCCCCTCTCCTCTCAAGTCCTCCCGCTAGCTGGAGGGAGAGGGTGGTGAGCTCCCCCCAGGGAGGGGCACCCTTCTCAGGAAGGGGCATTGTCTTTTACCTCAGTTTGGGTTTGGGTTTGGGTTGGTCTTTGTTTTGTGGTCACACTTAGCCGTGCTCAGGGCTCACTCCTGGCTCTGTACTCAGGGGTCCCTCCAGGCAGTGATTGGGGGACCCTACGGGGTGTTGACCTCTGACTGAGGTGCATACACCCTGTGGGGGCTTTCCAATGAGGCAGGGGTGCCCCCTGGGTCCTTCACATCCCAGCGTGCCCCTGGCCAGACTGTGCAGTGTCTACTGGCTCTGGGACTAATTGCAGTGACACCTGTCTACTGACACCAGGAGGCAGAAAGCGAGCAGGCCTGAGCAGGCACTGCCCATGGCCCCAGGCCGTCCTGGGTCTTCATCCACCAAGGGAAAGGCAGTGCCCTGGCTGTGGCCAGCAGCAGGCTGCCAGCTCTCACAGAGGGGTCTGTGGGCGGTACCTTCACAGGGAAGACTTCCTGTCCGAATCCATCCAACCGCTCTGCTTCATTAATGTACATCAGCTCTGCTTCTGCCGGCGGAATCCCACTGGACAAAGGGCAGCAGGGGGACACGTTCTGCATGGCCAGCCAGCTGCTGCCCTGCCCACATCCCACACGGGACAGGAAGGAAGAGCGCGGCAGCCAGTCCCCACAGCAGAGCAGGGACAGGGCAGCGAGTGGCCACTGCCACGCCCAGCGCTGGTCACCTGTGGGCCTTGTGCTCTTGGGCCACCTTCTGGGTCAGCTCGTCCAGAACAGCCTCGTCCAGGGCCAGATCCTGCAGCAGAGCCGCCAGGCAGGCGGGTGGGCGGGCAGCCATGTGTGTGGGCTCCGGGCTGTCCCAGAGCCCAACTCTGCCCGGCCCGCCTATTCCTTGCAAGGCCCCGGGGTCAGGAGCATGTCCTGCAGCTCAGGGCCCCCAGGAGAACCAGGATGGGGTGAGGCGTTGCCTGGCATGCATCCAACCCGGGACAGTCCCTGACACCACCAGGAACGATCCCTGAACAAGGTCAGGAGTCAGCCCTGAGCATCACCGGGCACGGCACCAAGCCTCTGAGAGCAGATGCTCCGGCTCTGCGGCTGCTCTGACCACCACTGCAGACACCCAGCCTGCCCTCCTGCGGGGACAGTGTCCAGGAGTCCCTGGCTCCCCTCCCATTCTGGACCCCGAGCCTCCTCACACCCTCCCACTCCCGGTCACCAGTCCCCAACACACAGGTTCGCTCCCTGCCTCTCTGCCTCAACCCGCCTGCTCCCACACAAACTCCCTCGTACCCTATGCCCACTTGACCCCCCTTCCTGCTTACTGCCCTCCCTGCCGGGGCCCTGGGACAGCCACTGTGTTTCTTATCTAACTTCTTCCGGGGAGGGCTTGGGGAGGGGTCGCAGCCCCCAATAGCAGGCAGAAAGTGGGCTGTGGGGTGATCATGATTTTTCCACCGGAGTATGGAAGATGGTCTTGGGCGAGGCCTTCTCCAGAGTGGTTCTCTGGAGGCTCTAACCTTCCCTTACTAGGACTCTCCTTTGCCCCAAAGCCAACAAAACACTGAAGCAAAGTACCCAGGGACTGAGGCCGGCAGGGAGCAGTGGCTCCAGGGGCCAGCCTCTCAGAAGGAGGGGTCTGCGCCTAGGGACCACAGCCTCACTCAGAGGAGGCAAACCAGCTCAGGTCCTCAGACAGGGACTGGCAAGGAGTGGCCAGCAGCCCTCCCTGGAGGGGTTTCTCAAGAAGACCCCACAGACAAGCGGGCAGCCATGCAGAGTGGAGAGGGGGCGGTGTTTCCTGGGGGGAACATGACAGTCTCTCTCCCCCAGGGACCATGCCTATCGGATTCCCGTGACTACAACGTCCTACCAAGCCAAGACCGTTCCTGCCAGCCAGGTCACTTACCATGGGAAACAGCACATACTCCCGGAGGAAGTCCTGAGAATCAAACTGGTGATAGTCTCCGAAGTCCGCTGGGGAGAGAGGGCAGAGTGGGTCCCCAGGACACAGTGAGCTGAGCAGCCCCGTGGGCTCTTCCCTGGACCTTGTATTTCTGCAGTTGTTTGGGGGGGGTGGGGGGGGTGGGTACACCTGACTGTGCTCAGGGCTGACTCCTGGCTCTGTGCTCAGGGATCATTCCTGGTGGGGCTCAGATGACCTCATGGTGCTGGGGACCGGACCTGGGTCAGCAGCTTGAGAGGTAAGTGCGCTAACCTGTGTGTGTCTCTCTGGCTCTTAGCCTTGAGTTTTGTTTTTGGGTCACACCTGGTGGTGCTCAGGGCTTACCCCTGGTCTGTGCTCAGGGATCATCCTGGCGGGGCTATATAAGGTGCTGGGGGTTGAAGCTGGGTTAGCACTGTGCAAGGCAAGCTCCCTTCTCTTTGTATTATTGCTCTGGCATATAATAAATAATAATTTCTTTTTTTCTTTTTCTTTGCTTTTTGGGTCACACCCGGTGATGCACAGGAGTTACTCCTGGTTCATGCACTCAGGAATTACTCCTGGCGGTGCTCGGGGGACCATATGGGATGCTGGGAATCGAACCTGGGTTGGCCACATGCACGGCAAACGTACTACCCATTCCAGCCCCAATAATAATAAAATTTTAAGGCGAACTCGCCCAGAAGCTCCTGTGGCATCAGAGGACCTTGTCTCTCTGACACGAGGGCTTCTGAACTCAGGTTTATTGGAGAGAATTAATGAGTCAGCCAATAGGCCTTCTCAATTCAGCAATTCGCAGCTGGAAATTCCACGAGTAAGCACCCTGAGCAGTGCCCCCCCCCAATACTCTGAGCCCCTGACCAACTTCCCACACCCAAGTCTCAGTCCCCAGGGGCCAGGATGCCCTCTCCTCTGGTTCTTTCTCAGGATCGAGCCAGTTTGCACATGGGGCAAAGCCAGAGTCTGCTCCTACCATTGCACCCACTGTCCCATGGGCCCAGTGACACCATGACATCAAAATTCCGGGGTGGCTCGGGCCACATGCCCCGCAGGTGGGCGAAGTCGGGGGCTGCACGGGTGCAGTGCTGGAGGACTGAGACCACCTGCCCAAGTTGGAGGCGGGAGGCAGTGGAGAAGCAGGCCCCGAGCACCAGGCGGGTCACTGGTGACAAATCTCATTTCATCACCGTCTGTGTCCTGGTAACAGCCCAGGAGCGCCCAGCCTCGGCCCCAGCATGCACTGCTGGCTCCACAGACCCAGTGGGAACAAGGTGACATTCAGCTGCGTCCCCAAGGTCCAGGCGGGGTACATGGAACTCAGGGGGATGCTCCGTGGTCTCCCGGCAGCGCTCAGGAGGCCTGGGCTCTGCAGGGACACACAGCCACCGGGCAGTCCAACTCTGGACCTGGGTGCCTGGCATGACCCGGCCAATCTGATTATGATCTGGGGACCTTCTTGGTGCCAGGGATGGGACCAGGGTTGGCTGCGTGCAAAGCAAGCGCTTTATGGCTTTCTTCTCCAGACACACAAACATGGCTTCTGTGTTTTTGTTTGGGGGCCATGCTCAGGGTTAACTCCTGCTCTGTGCTTGGGGGTCACTCCTGGAGGGCTCAGGGGACTATCTGGGGTGCCAAGGATCGAACTCGGGTTGGCTGTTCAAGGCAAGCGCCCTCCCCGCTGTACTGTCGTCCCACCCCCAAAACGGCTTCTTAAAGGAGAAAGAGGCCTCTGAGGAGAAGCATGTGGAGTGTCCACCCAGAATCTGAGCCCTCTTTGCCTCTCCTGTGCTGGGGCACTGGGTCACCCCCTGCTCTGAACTCACAGGCACATGATCCCTCACCCCGCCCCACCCCGCCCACTCTACCTGCCCAGGTGACAAGATGCCACCACGGGAACTGAGTTCTGTAACACTTTTGCGCTTGACACCAGGCTCACGTGGCCGGGGCAGACCCCTGGTGGTGCTCAGGGCTTACCCTTGGGTCTGCTCAGGGATCATCCTGGCACCAGACAAAGGCATGCCCTGGAGCCCAGTGGCAGAGAAGCTTCTACCAAAATGACAAAATGATAGTCTCTGTGCTACTCAAACAGCTGATGACAAGGCCACCATGCAGCAGAGATGAAAATGCGGGTGATGTGGAGGTTTGCTAGGCACGGTCAAGGACAGGGGTGGGTGCTCACAGCTGGCCGAGCTGCTGCTTTGTGGGGGTGGGGGCTGGGCTCCATCCTGGAGCCTCCTGTTCCCTGAGGGCTGCCAGAGAGGCTCCCGAGCACAGAGCCTGGAGCACCCAGGGTGTGGAGAAACATCTCTGCATTTGTCGCAGGGACTGGGAGAGAGAGGTTATGGCAGAGACCCAGCACACGCCAGAGCAGGTCCGATTCCCTGCACATTACAGTCCCGCCAAGTATCACTGGGTGCAGCCCTGGGGCTCGGTCATCCCCAGCAGGAGACTGAACCAAGCTGGCCGTGGGCAAGGCCAGCGCCCTCCCCACTGAGCTCTCTCTAGCCCCACGCTCTGCATTTTAAAGGGAAGTGCAATGAGACAGGGAGTGGGTGCTCTGTGGGGTCCTGATGTCAAGCTCGGTGCCTCACCCGCCCAGTGCAGGGGCGCAGCCAGACTCTCCACTTACCCTGCACTGCGAGGCCAGCCAGCCGGATGGCCTGCTCCAGCGAGCATCGCAGCCGGCCCTCCAGCACGTCCTTCTTGGCTTGCAGGTAGTACTGGTACCTGTGTGGGTGGGGGGGGGGGGCATCAGGAACACCACCACCCCTCCTGGGCAGGGTTCCCTTCCACCCCCACCCCTGCAGTATCTTCTGGGCACCCTGTTTCATGCCAGGGGGACCAGTGGGACCAGCTTTCTCCGGGAGACAGGGTCTTCCGTGACAGGTCAGGAGTGAGGGGTAAAAGAACTCTGCAAGCACAGTGTGTTCCTATAAACGCCAACACCCTCGCCCCCTGGGGTGGTCCCCGAGACCCAATCACCAGATGTCCTGCTGGCCAAGGAGTCAGCTCTGCAGCACAGGGCCACCCCTTGTGAGTCACAGAATGCAGCCGAATGGAGGCAGGGGAGTGCGTCCCACGTGCCTGCATCAGCCCTGCCCGCAGCCGGCCCGGCTCTCAGGCGCAGGGACAATGCCCCATTTCCTTGCCAGCCCAGTCACACGCTTGTACTAAACACGGCAGCCCCCCTGCTCCAGGAATCCACTTCCTCTGGCCAGACTCAAATACCAGCCCTTCCCCACAAGCCCCCCAGCAACACAGCGCAGTGCTGACCCCTTTGCTCCCGGCCTCTGTCAGGCTTTTTCTGGAACACGAGCAGGAGCACAGGAGGAAGGCTCAGAGCTGGGCAGGGCACATCACCTCGCGGGGAGGGAGACTGTGCTGACAATCCCGGGATCTGTGACGCCGCCTGTGAGGTGGCAGGTCTGCAGCAGGAGGGACGACAGTCCCCGGCAGGCCCCTCCAGGCCAGCACCGGCTCATCCAAGCGTCTCAGTCCCCTTCCTCCATTACAAAATGCCGTCTCCTGTTTTACCAGCACCGTCCTCTCTGCTGTCCACCATCAAGACGTGGGCTGTGGCGCTGCCCACCGCAGGCCAGAGAGCACAGTAGCCACGGCCAGGAGCAACCCAAGTGCCCGGCAGACAGGGGGTCAGAGAAACTCTTTGGGGGCTGGAGAGGAAAAAGAATAGCAAGGACGATGGTTGCCCTACATGTGTATGGCCCTGGTTTGGTCCCTGCACTGCTAATGGTCCCCTTCCCCTGAGCACTGTGAACCCTCAGCAGAGCGCGAGCAGCACCTCCCACAGGAAATGACATGCACCTGGGTTTGGGACCTGACAAAATACCCCTAAGTTCAGAATCATTGCTCCGGCATGTCATGTCCACTCCACAGCGCCGGGCTGAGTCCCAGTCCATGGAGGAGACAGTCAGGACTCCCACTCGCCCATGGGGACCCCACAGGAACAGCCCACGGGAATTAGGTCTTGCACAAAAGGCACTGTGGTAAAGGGAGTGATCCTGACCTCTCTGAGGCACCAGGAGAAAACAAGAGCTAAAATTCCACTTGTAGAGCACTCGCCCTTGCCCTCCTGGACGCAGGTTCCATTTGGAGACAGTGACAAGTTCCAGGGATCCTGCTCTGGGAACAGAAAGCTCCCCTGGATCCCACTCCGCCCTAGCACAGCTTGGGGAAAAAAGCAAAACAAAAACCATTCCTCGTGCCAGGAAAGTATTTGCCAACTTTCTCAGGAGATCTTCTTTGGAAACCCAAGCACAGAAGACGGCCTTCTAGTATTTTTATATCCTAAGACCTGGGGATGGTTCATCTCACTGTAGATGCAGTTTAGATACGACATAGCTGTACCCCCAACCCCCACCCCACCCCCTCAATGCGTGAACCCTGGTGGTGCTGACCAAAAGCCAAATCTCTGTTCTCAAAGTTGCCTTGCTCTTTTTCACAGAAAGGATGGGGGAGTTGCTTGCGTGCAAGTTTCTCCAGGTGAAGCAAAGGAGGCTTCCTGATCATCACGAATGCCAGAAAGTGATGCCCGGAGTACTTGGTTACTGCTAATAAAAATATCTAGAATATTCCTATTCAAGTACAAGAAAACAGGTGACTCGTCCGTATTCCTTTCTCCCCTAGGATACTGAAAAGAAAGTCTTACTTTTGTTTTCAAATGCCATTCCAGGCAAAACGCTACAGCTGAGCCTGGTGAGGCATCAGTCTTTCAAAAGAGATGCCTAGGGCGGGGGCACCAGGACAGCAGGGGGGCATTGGCCTTGCCTGTGCCCACCAGGGCTCGGGGTCTCCTGAGCCCAACAGACATGATTCCTGAGTGAAGAGCCGAGACAGGAGTAAGGTAGGTGTGGCCAGATACCAAAAGAGATGCCTAACCTCTTCTCTCTGACACTCTCTCTGACAGTGCCTCGGGCCATTTGGTTTTAACTCTTTTGGCCTTTTTTTTTTTTTTAAATCTCATTCACTTGATTGTTTCCATTGGGCAATCCCTTCCCAGGTGCTTGGGAGGGCTCCGTGGTCCCGGGCTATGTGGAGCTGAACTCAGCCACCTGCCCTTGTCTCCTGAGCTCGGGCAGTAGGGATGGGCCTGGCACTGCGGCTGAGGCTGTCGTGCTTCGGGGGTACAGTCATGGAGCCCCAGTCCCGCCGTGGCCCTAGGCCCAGCTTGTGGGTCCTCCTTCCCGGCCCCCCGCTCAGCAACCGCAGTTCTGGATTCCAGTGGCCACAGTCTCTTCTTCTGTTTGTTTCTTAACACCCACACAGGAATGAAACCTTGTCTTCTCCACTTGGCATGAACCCCTCAGGTTCCACTGATGCTGGGGTCCACGGCAGGATTTCCTAGCTGACAGAAGACAGTTTCTCTGTCCACTCAGCCACTACAGACTTCACCTTCTCTCACAGCTGTACAGAAGGACGCTGTGTGTATAGGCCACAATTACTTTCTATCATTGGCTTTGGGGTCACACCCAACGGTGCTTGGGGCTAATTCCTGGTTCTGTGTTCAGGGGCCACTCTCAGCAATGCTTGGGGGCCCATATGTGATGCTCGGGCTCAAACCAGAACTAGCTGTGAGCAGGCCACGACAACCTCCCCACTCTCTCTGACCCAGAGACCTTCCTTACCCACTTAGGTGCTGTCCACGACTGCAGTGAATGAGGCATACACGCACACTGAACCTTTGCAAATTGGTGCTTGTGGGTTCTTGGGACAGACGCCAGGGACTGCAAACGCTTGGCTCGAGAGCAGCAATTGTTTCCGATTTTCGAGACTTCTCTATACTGTTTCCACAGCGGCAGAACCAGCTGACGTTCGCGTCAGCAGTGGAGGGGATTCCTCCCACGGAGGACAGCCCCTCCACACAGCCCCTACATGCCTCTGCCCATTCATCTGCCTCCCCACTGCTGGCCAGTTTGGCCCATGGTATGGTTTTGTCACTGCTGCTTTGAAGAAAAGACCTGAAACGCTTTTTTCTCACTCAAAATGCCTTTTACAAGGAGCATCAGAAGAACCTTCTAGAACCTCCCGGCACAGGGTGGTATATGCCAGAGCATTCGCCCCACTTTCTGCTTGACGTACATGTGCTAGTTTCTCTACGATCAGAGACCCACAGAGGTCCTGGCACTCCCCAGGCTGCGGGTGCAGGACAGCCAAGGCCCTGGTGACCCTCAGAAGGACAGAGGACACAGAACACTCCAGGCATCCTCCTGGTACACATGATGACCCAGAGCTAGAGAGTAGGTGGCAGACACACAGACAGGCAGGCAGACCTGCTGCCTCCTTCCCACCCCTCAGAGCCCGGAGGAGATTCTGGCCACACATCAGCACAGTGATGTGACCCCCGCGTGACCCACCAGTGGCTGCTCCCATGATGCTTCCAAGGCTGTGACCTGCACCCCCTCCGCCATTGCATCTTGCAGCTCTGAAGCAAGCGGCCAGCAGGGGACAGGGGCAGGAACGTGTGGGCGACTGGCATGCCCATACAAGGGAAGAGTTCCTCCTGCCTCCCACACAAGCCTGCACGCCAGGAGAAACACACACACGTAAGCTCACACACACCAGACACACATGCCAGCACACAGACACACACACGGGCACACTGACACACACAATGATACGCAGACACACACACCAACACACAGACATACACTGCAGACACACACACCAGCACACAGACACACACAAGGGCACACAGACACACACAATGACATGCAGACACAAACACCAGCACACAGACACACACAAAGGCACACAGACACACACACTGACACGCAGACACACACACCAACACACAGACACACACTGCAGACACACCAGACACACACGCACCAGCACACAGACATACACATTGACACACAGACACACACACAATACACAGATAGACACTGACATACAGACACACACTGATACACACACTGGCACACAAACACACAGACACATATACTGACACACGCACCAGCACACAGACACACACACCAGCACACACACAGACCAGCCAGACTTCCAAGGCCACAGCTGTCCCATGCACCCCCCATCACTCCCACTACCCCTGCTCCTGACACTCAAGGAAAAGTGGACTCACTGGGAGAATGTGGCACTCTGACACCCAGAGAAGACCACTGCCCACATCTGCACTTGCTCCTTCTCAGCCCCATCTACTTTGTTGAAGTAGCCTGGGAGCCTGGGCGAGTGGCCACATGGAGCCCGTGTTCTCATCTTGCCTTCCCCACTGGACACTGGTCCCAGACTGTGTGGGAGAGAAGTGGGTCCAACAGCAACCTAGGTCACCAGGACACGGGTGGCTGCCCCTCCCCGTCCCCAGCACTGGCTGCCCCAGGGAGGCCGGTCTAACCATTCGCACCATCCTTCATGGTTGCTAAAGTGAGTGTCTCCACCGAGAGCCACCAGGAAGGCCTGTACCAAGCCCCCAGGAGGCAGCGGCCATGGCAGCCGCAAACACACCATTCAGAATGCGACTCCACAGGGTCCCAAGCAACCCCAATGCCCATTGACCAACCCCCTCCCCTCGTTCTGTAATCCAATTACTCACGCATGGGGTCAGGGGGACAAAGACGAGGTCAGCCGCCTTCTTGGTAAAATGCAGTTATCACAGAACAACGAGCCGGAGCTCTGATTGCCGGCCATGTTCTCCCATAGATGTTCAAAGCCCCAGTGGAGTCTAATCATACTGCGATTAGAATGCCACAAGG